TGAGTGTGCTACAGTTTCTCATTAGGTTCAATGGGCCTTTATTCTATTTTATTTTTTATTTTTAATGGGTTAATGTTATGTAAAGTTTGTCCAACCTAGCAACAGTTGCCATGAAATAATGCATGATATGGATTTAAATATCATGGAACTGATAAAAAAGGCTGCGATTCCTAGATGGCTCACTCAATATAGATGTAAATACTCTTAAAGCTAAATTGAAGTTGACCCTTTATGTACTTCCATGCTGACATGTTTACAATTTAACATCTTAGTTATTGTCATTTGCTGGAGAACAGAAACAAAACAATAAAAATATGTCTAGTTTCTTATGGACTGAGCTCTATATGTCACGTCTTCCTTGACCTTTAAAAAACAAAAGATTGAATTGAATCAGCTGGTATTCTGGTTGAAAAGTGGCTGCTGGTCAGTTTGGGGACACTGCTGTACATTCCAGTGGGTTTCCTGCTTTAACACATGTGAGTCAGCTCGTGAAGGGCTTGATAATTACCTGATGAGCTGAATGGGATCTGTTAGAGCAGAGAAAACACTAAAATGTTCAGCACATGGAGTACCCAGGACTACTACACAACATCTAGCCTCCGTACCATCTGCTCTTTCAGTACCCAAGCTCTCTCTCTTTTTTTAATACACAGTACCAGGCAACTGTTCGGAACCGTCTGACTGAATGTATGTTTTTCATAATCTTAAAGCCGTTTTGAGCTAAAGGCTTTTTGCTTGAACGCTTTAAATATGTTTCTAAGACAAATACAAATAGTGAATTTTAAATGTAAACCAGCAGGTCCACTGGAAAAGCACATCAGGTTGCTCTCAGAGAGAAAGGCTGCAGTGAAGAGAAAGAAGGGCTACTTTAAAGAATGTAAAATGGTTGTTTTAATATGTGCATGTGCAACTTTGACAAGGTTTCTGATCTGACCTTTCTTTAGTAGTGGGCAATATGACCAAAAAATTATATATATATATATATATATATATATATATATATATATATATATATATATATAATGTAATTGCAAAAATTATATATATATTGCTGCATCATTTAAGGTGGAACGGAATTTCTGATATGATGCTAAAGAACTTTAGCTTCGTCAAATTTCTCAAGTCATTTGTTTCATTTGTGCTTCCTGCATACTCAAACCACCGAGTGTCAGACACTGCTTGAATTTGGAATATACAGTGTGATTCAAAAAGATTAATCTGATTTCAAAGCCCCATATTTTTACAACCATGAGGCGCCTAGGAACCAATCACATACCAACTGAAAAGAGGGGGTCATAGAGTTTGTGACTGTCACTGTAAAATGGCTCCCTTCAGTCTGCGAGGAGATGCGACCCCTGAGCAGAAAGCGTTTTGCGTTCTCCACTTCAATAACAGTGAATCCATCATTTTACAGTCATTCACTCTTCACTGCCAGCTGGTCCACGGCTTGTTTTGCAGACAAGACCTGACCACAGCGTCATCTCATGCAGCTGACCGAATCAGGCAGCTCCTTAGGCTAAGAGTAGTTGCTCTGGTGTCCATGTTAGGCTAAGGCCAACCCCAAAAGATCAGCCACTCTATGTCTGCTGCCTTGAAAAACAAAGTGGACTACTCTGATTGAGAATTCTGCCTTTACCTTTTCATTTGAAAGAAGACTGAAACATCCCTGACTCAGCCATTCAGCTAAATGGGATAACATTAGCATGTGTTGCACTGTTTGTACATAGCGTTATCTGTGCTTATTTGTAGCATACCAGCATAACGCTTATGACAAACTCATAACATGTGGAAGAAGTTTCACCAGGGATACTGGATAAACTGATATAATGTCCATTATTAATTACACCTGTTTCACAACTACAATTATGATCTGTTCACCCAGGACATGTTAATATTAGGTGTAACAGGGGCCACGAGTTTTAGCGCTGTTAGGTTAACTAAATAGTTCTAAATAGACACTAACGAAGGAGGAAGGATCCATTTCGGTCACCGTGTATGTTTACAGTTAGCTGGCTATGAGGCCCAAGAGACTGACCAAACAAATACAAAGACAGAATACACAGAAATGTTTGGTTAGTGTGTCACACCCAGGAGCTTAAACTGTGGGTTATAATGGACATAACTAACCAGGGCCCTCCCGGAATAGGGGACCCTCCAAAACCCTTATCTTGTAGCTCCACCTTGGTGGTGTACTGTTACATACTGTAGCTCTTTTGTTTATACTCAATTTGTATTAATCTTTCATCTGTCATCAATTCTGACCACTCAGTTGGGCATTTTTAGGTGGTGGATACAAAGCCCTAGTGATGACATCCTGAATAAATAAAAAATAAATAAAAATAATGCATGGCCACGATTTAGTAAGGCATAGGAACAAGATAATTAAGTCGTGGCCACCAATTAGTAAGGCGTAATCGTGTTCCCATGCCTTACTAAGTGGTGGCCACAACTTAGTTATCTCATTCCCATGCCTTACTAAGTCGTGACCATGCATTAGGATCTCGTTCCCATGTGTTAATAAGGTGTGGCCACGCAATATTTTTATTTATATGGGATGTCACCGGCAGGCTCTGTTGGTGGATTTGGTTAGTGTGTCACACCCAGGAGCTTAAACTGTGGGTTATAATGGACATAACTAACCAGGGCCCTACCGGAATAGGGGACCCTAGGGGACCACTCTCAACCACTGATTAGTGGGGTTCCTATGGTGGTGTTTCCAACGACTGAAGAGGTAGATGAGGGATGATCAATTGTACAGTAACAGATGGACTACAGTCAGAATGTCTAAACAAAGTGCACCTATGTGATAAGTGCTTAAAAATGGCCAATGAGAGTTGATACGATATTCCTAAAAAACTGAGGACAAACAGTATCAATTACCATCTACTTTCCACTCTCTGAACCATCATATCACTATATTAAAAACTGAGTTTTCTTACAATTGAATGCGAAGCCACTATATGTAATGCATGTATCATGTGATTGACGGTATTCTACAGGCTGCAGAATGAGCGGAGGAGTGAAGCAGATGGCGGATGTGTTCGGTAGTCTGGTGTGTGTGCTCTGTTTGGGAATGTTCTGGAAGCTTGAGGAGGCTTTGGCTTATCTTTCATTTGAAATTCCATTGATCTCCCCATGCCACATCAGATCAGCGCTGATGGGAATAATCTGCAGCTCATTGTGGGCTTTCACACAGCTCACACTAGCACAGCATCTCTAATGTGTGTTGGGGGGGGGGGTGAGTGGGTGTTTGTTTTTGTACACTTTCAGGACAAACTTTCTAGTAAAAACAGAGAAAAGCAGGACTAACCTACAGAACCAACAAACCAACAAAACTAACAAACTGGTCCTGGATTTTTTTTTATAACAAACACTTCATGTTGCCCTTTTTTTTTAAAAAAAAAAAAGAGCAAGACAATTTGTTTTTGCTGAGATTAGGATTAGAGTTAGGTTTAAGATCAGGCTTAGACTATTATTATTACATAAAGGTATGTACACATGTATGAAGAAGCAAAACTATTTCATTTCAAAATGTTTTATATGGATCATTCCACCAAAATGTGGAAAATCTTTTAAGACACATTTTGGACTTTAGACTAAAATCATTTTACTTTCAGTGACGCTGTACCTCTATCTTGAAATAAATGATTAAACATTCCATTTTGTCTCTACCAAAACAATCATAACAGTGCTGAAACTTTACCAAATGTTTCAATAGTGACTGTTTCAGTAGTGACAATTTTAGCTGATTTAGCAGAATTCACAAACGCTATCCAGCACATGACTAGCAAACACAGCTGTGAACAGCGGTAGACACATAAAATCATAATAGTTTTCATTAAAACACAAAAAAGTTTACTTAACTAAATATGTGTTTCAGTAGTGACTCATATTGTTTCAACTTCATTTTAAAAGAAATGAAAAAGATCTTTAAAAAAAACACTGGAAAAAATACCAAAAACATATAAGTACTATTTTCACAAGTTGTATTCAGGGGTTAGGGTTTGGGACAGACACCTTCCAATAGAAAGTACCCTATAAATGATAATTTTGCATAGGTTTAGCTAATTATTATCTTGACACTTTGGGTTTAAATAGATCATAATGTAATTCTTATATCTATATACAAGAATTCTGTTATGTCCAGGGTGTTTCCTGCCTTCCGGTCAATGACTGGGATAGGCTCCAGCACCCCCATGACCCAGAAGGATAATCAATTTAGAAAATGTGTGTGTGTGTGTCTGTGTATATATATAAAAATAAATAAAGGACAACAGGCATTTTCAGATTATGTCAAAAACTGAAAAACGGCAAAAATGGAGATACGAGGATACAAACTACAGAGATCACTGCTGAAGTCACAGAGAACACTTTGAGGGGAACATTTTGGGGGAAAAAAATAACACTAAATGTATCCAGTGTAAAGGTTATGGCACATTTCATTCTTTATGCTTTTTTCAATATGTTAAACTTTCAAATTAATAGAAGCTGTGCATGGAAATTTGCAGAAAAAAAATCATACATTTCATATTTAAGTGTGTTGTCTGTAGAGCTTGTGTTCATTTTCACACAGAAAATCAACTGAACATGTCATTTGAAATTTGACCAGGGTGTTCAAACTTTTACGTATGACTGTGTTTATGCAGTATCTCCAAAATGGGAACTTTACCGGAGAAGGATCCTCAACTCTTAATGGAAGTTTTAAAACAAGATCTTATTCTAAGTCATTTTGAACCTGTTCTATTGGTTCATGACGTTATGAGACAATATAAAGGCCAACTGGTGTTTTAAAATCATGCAAAAAATGAAAATACACCAAAAAAAGAGGTTTGAATCCGACAGCAGCGATACTTACAAATACATGAGACGTACTATTATTACAAATACATACTTACAGATACTTATGATTACACATCCTAACCAAAACAGTACTGTTGTGTGTGTGTGTGTGTGTATGTGTGTGTGTGTGTGTGTATATGTGTGTGTGTGTATGTGTGTACCTGTGACAGTATTAGTGCAGGTGTGGTTATAAAGCAGAGCCAGTTCTCCACAGACTGTCCCCGCCTCAATGATGTGCAGTTTCTGACCAGCTCTGGACGCCTCCAGCTTCCCCTCTGCAAACACACACACACACACACACACACACATTAGACCCGTGCCCTCAGTCTCAGGTTTGTTGCCAGGGGCGACAGGTGTTGAGTGACAGATTAGCTCAGCTGTCACAGATTGCAGGCATCATCTCCAAAGGCGACGCCACGGAGACGAGAGCTCGGGCAACCAGCGACGCCACGGCAACCTGTCACACCGAGGTGGTGTATCAGTGGAGCCCACAGTGCTGATAACCGCTTTAGTGACAGCGGATAGATCTCTGCCTTTAACATGCTCTTTATTCCTCTATCTGCACACGCACACTCTTATTCACTCCGCATCGCCTCAGAACATCACACACCGAGATTATCCCCTCTATTTTACCCTCTTTTCTTCTCTTTCTTTTGTTCATTTCTTGGAAACAGAAGCACTGCGATCCTTGTTGCTTAGAGCAGTCAAGGAGTTTGAACTATTATATACACGGTATGTTAAAGAGGCCGTATCCTACAGTTTTCTTGCATTATATTTGTTCACTGAGGTGCACTTATTATGCTACGACGTGTGGGTTTATGTGCATTTATGTGCTTATGTACATGTGGATCTATGTACAAAATGTATGTGGGGAAATAAGTATACAACATGTCAAAAATCCTTTTATTAAACATTTCCAAAGCAGCTCTTCACATGAAATGTGGATCAGATATTGGTATTAACAGCTACACAGCTGAAGAAATCAATCCAGTAAAAAAGTTATGTGCAATAAAGTAGAATGAGACAGGAAAATTGTATTATACACAGTAAGAAAAAGCATTAAACCAGTTGACTGCACTAATTATTTCATCAGCTGGGTCAGTGCATGTTGGTAGGTTAGTGCTTGCTCTCTTTGAAAAAGTGGTACCAACTTTTGAATGTAGGTAATCATCACTAAGCTGTCAAAGAGAGGCAAAGAGCGCTCTAACCTTTATTACAGTTCAGTTCTTTTCAGGAAACTCATTTTCAGTTTTTCAAAGTAAAATGTGCAGGGATAGTTCAGTATTAGGCCCAATCCCATTTCTTATTTTTACCCCTAGCCCTTGTTTTCGAGAACCACCTCGCCCCTTGGACCTGAGTTACAAGGTGTAGTGGTTGAAATCTTCCCCTTTGAAACAGGACAACCTTCAAATAAAAAAAGAACATTACTTCACTAACAGGCAACTAGTGGTGCTCTGCTATTCACCAGCGTCTTGTTTGAATTTTCTCTTTTCCACCTTAAATGGGTGCCTGAGGTACCAGAATGTAACTGCTGCACCATTTAAGGTGGAACGAGAAGTTTAGCTAGCTAGCTACCGAGACATCAGTATACTACAATTGTTTTTTTTTTATGCTTGTTATGCAGAAAAGGACTGTAATACATTCAAACGACATAAAACTAAGTTGTGCAGCCATCTTGTTCGTTTTTCTTTCTTTCTCATATCACTCATTTGGAGTGAGCCTCTGGAAAAACCTTTATTTGGATGGCCATGTAGACCTAACACTTCTACCCTACCCCTCTATCTCAACAAAAACCAGGAACGGAGGGCTGAGGGCTAAGTGGTAGGGGTGAGGGGTGAAATTGGGTTGGGCCTAAAAGTAGTTAGATCCATTTTCTGCTTCTCACAATCCACATAATCCCAAATATAAATTTAGACTCATCTAAGTCTAATCAAACATCTTTAATAACAATAAAAGTCTCAAAACATTACTCCACATCTCAGATGTCCAGTTTCGGTGTTCTAGTGCAAATGTTCTTCTTTTTTGTTATCTTTTCTCAGTAAGAGCTTCTTGACAGCTACTTATCCTTTCAGAACCATAGCGCTGAGTCGTCTTCTCACAGTGGAAGGACGGACAGAAACACCTGTGGATGTTTTCAGATCTGAAGCAGCTTGATTTTCTCCACTCTCTCAAAGATGAAAGCTTTAAGTGCTGTTTATCTGATGGGAACAGGGTTGGTGTCCACCAGGTCTTGCATAACGGTTATCAGGAGTCCCATTTTCTCTGAAGCTTTTAACTCCTTCACTTACTTTCCTTTGACTTTCCCCTTCCGTGAGCAAGTGGATTATCTTACATCTAACCTCCTCAGAAATATCACATGAAGGACAATCAACTTGTACTTAATGAATGCTTTACAGAAGTAGGAAAAAGCTTACTTTGCTTTCAATGTAAGTCAATGGAACCAGACTTTTTTCCAAGTCATTTTGGGCCGTTTCTTTTGGTCCGTTCATCATGAAATTTCGACACAATGTAAAGGGCACTGAACTATGTCAAAAACTGAAAAACAAGAAAAATGGAGATACAAGGTTTTGTTCCGACAACAGCGATATAGGACTGAAAGTTTGCAATACTGCTATAGTAAAAAAGCAAACCAAATGGTAGCAGAAGTCTAATACAAACACTGGCTTGTACTACCTGAATCTGACCTCCACAGACAGAAGGAGAGAGAGAGAGAGAGAGAGAGAGAGAGAGAGAGGGAGATTCAGTGAGAAGTCCTGACAGCAGTAGACAGTGGGTTATGTATTAAAGATCATGAGCATGTCAGTGTTTGTTAGAGGAAAGCTGCACTGCTGATAAATCATTCAAAATAGGCCTTAGGCAGTATCAGCTTCACTGGGTGTTTGGAGTAATGAGAGTTTTCGAAGCAGCGGGGTAACGATGTGAAACACGCAGCGTCACATCTCAAAAGTTCAAACGCACATCTGATGAAATTACTCTGTAACACCGGTCATGAGGGGCCTACAATAAGGGCAACAAAACTGTGCTTGTATTTTACATAAACAATGCACATATTTGACTTGTTATATTATATTACATTATATTATATTATACTACTATATACCTCAAGTTTCCCAAGTTTATTAATAAACAACATCCCTAGGTTCAACATGTCTCTCATTTAACCCCAAAGTTTTATTACACGCTTCTATAACCTAAGAATAGCTCCATTAGTTTGCATTGAAGTCCCTGTAGTTACTGAATAATAAGTCTTTGTAGGAAATAAACCTGAAATGTTAAGGGGTTAAAAGACTGACAAGCATGAAGGCCAGAAAAAAGTCTTATTTGCACAATTTCACCATTACTATAAATATAGCTGAGCAGTCAAGACATGTCTGGTCACTTCTTTAATTTCGCACTGGAGCTACTAGTCTAATTCAGCTAACATAGTCCCCGTTTTTAGCTGTGAATTAAAAAAAACACACCAGAAAGTCCTAAGAATCTCCTGGCAGCAGAGCAGATGGGCAGGCATCTTGCGTTATGCTCACTTTGGCCAACTGAGGGAGCTGACTGCTGTCTCCTAACCACTTCTACCACTTTTTCGCCTAGTTTTAGAGAACGCTGCTGTGTAAAACTGTACCGGGAGCCAGCAAGAGTCAAGTGAGTCCACAACATCACCACAAATGTCTTTTCAAGACACGAGGTGACCCAGCGGTTAACAGCAGGGGTGGGGTTGCGGGACTTGTATCGCACTGCCAGGCGATAGGTGGGCTGATTTGTATACTGTTGGGAATTGTTTTTATTTTCTAGTTTTCTGTTCTTTTTCCTTTGTTTTAGTTATTATTCATTGGTAAGCAGGTTAAAAAAGCGTTGTTGTGAGAAGTCAATTGTGTTCTTGTTTTTGTGGTAAGATTCACAGCAATACCAAACAATCTGTGTGAATGTAGCTACCATGCGATCTACAAATCATATTTTTAAACTATGTCACTTTTTCAGCCATCCACATATAACATATGGCATATGTTAATAGTAGCCATCTGTCCAGAACTGGAGCTGCCCACGGGTGTGTTTAGGGTCTGGCTACTGGGCTGTAGCCACGTCTTTTTTCTGTAGCTACAGGTCTTTTTGACTGTCAAAATATTTAATATGAATATGAACCACTGAATTGTGGTAAACATATCCATAGCTCCATATTTTTCTACATGATTTTCTACCACGGTTTACAAAGTTACTTAAAACCTAAATTTATCAGTCGGCCTTCACCACAGTTTATCACAATACAACAGTTACCATGATCAAAATACCAGAAACTGGAGCCGTACCACCTTTTGTATTCCAGAGATAAAAACAGTGGATATTTTAATGACATACTGACTGCCGAACTGGAAATGGAAACTGGTTTCCATTTCAGAAATCTGGTCACCTCATTCAAACTGCATATCTAAATCATCACACACTCACCATATTGTGTCAAATTGTTACGTAATCTCAAATAGTCTTGTGTGTTTTCTGACTCTAGGATATGTTATCTATAAAAATGGACAAAAGTACATTAGCGTGGCTAGAAACAGTGGTCAAAACTATCTGAAGTTCTGAATTTTGTTTATTACTTTGACAGTGCTGAGCAAAAGTCAGGTATCAGTTCATATATCAGAGACTAATTCACAGCCAAAAGAGCCACTGAGCACAACTTTCTCATTTTTCAACGTCCTTCCATGTTTAGAAGATAACTCAGTGCTATGGGTCTGAAAGGATGTGTATCAGTCAAGAGGCTATAACTGAGAAAAGAAAAAAAACAAAAATGCACTAGAACTGGGGTCGGTGACATGAGGCTCCAGAGCCGTATGCAACTCTTTTACTGCCCTGTTGCAGCTCCACATCAGAATAAAAATAAAATAATCCTCCTTTGCAGTAAAATAAAGTTCTGCTGATCGTTCAACACAGTTTTAACGCTAAATGGTCTTAAACGTTGGAGGTAATGTAAATTCAACCTTTAACCCTGAAAGTTGGTGTGCAGAATGCTGGTCACCATAGCAACGCAGACAACAGTCTTGCCTAGCTTGTAGCTAATGAAACGGCAAAGAGAGAGATTTAAGATGAACATTAATTTGGAGATGAAAGGACTTGTTTGCATTTATAATCACTCCAGCTGGTTTCCTGATACATTTAATCTGCAATGAGAAACGGTCAAACACTAAAGAGTTGCGAAGCTGAAGTCAGCTTCTCATCTGAGTTTTCCCGTTCAGCAGGCAACATTTAAGCTGGAACTGGAAAATTCGACCAAGAAGTTGGCGTATGAGAATGCATTTACTAGAAACTGTTCTACTTTTGTGGAAAATTTTCCTGCCGGAGATGTGAGAAAATCGGCTATAGCTGAGCTGAAGCTTAAAGCAGAGCAAAGTCTGTGTTTTCATTAATATAATTTTTTTAGCCCATACTAGCACATCAACACATACTGAGACATATTTACAGCCAAGATGGTAAAACGAGTATTTAAAAGTTGTGGCTCCCAAGGTGGTTTGATTTTTGCTGAAAGGACAAAATGGCTCTTCTCAACATGTGGGTTGCCAAGCCTTGACCTAAAACATCAAAACTGGACATCTGAGACATTTTATGGACTGATGAGTCTAAATTTGTAGTTGGGGTTACTTGGATTGTGAGAAGCAGAAAATTGAACCAACTTCTAAGACTGAACTTTGGAGGTGTGGAAAAACATCCCTGCAGATTTCTTCGAAAAACTGAAAGCGAGTTTCCTGAAAAGAATGGAAGCTGTAATAAAGTCAAAGAGTGGACACACCAAATACTATATTTAATTCTTGAGGCTTCTGGGTAATTTTCTGTTAAAAAACAAGTAGATAAAGCAAGCTGAAGAGGGAAACTTTTCAACTTAATGCCTGTTTTAACTGGAAATTAAATAAATGAAGGGTGGTCTCTGACTTCTGGAGATCTATACTATGTGGTGATTCAGAAATGCAGTCTGTGTGATGCTAATTGGTGGTTTATACATTATTATTACTTGTCCAGTGCAAAATTAAAGCCGACGCTAAACATGTCTTGGCTGATTGGCTGTGTTTAGAGGGGGGAGAATGTGTTTACATTTGATTTTGATGCACTATTCCAACTTTCCATCTTTCTTTTCCCCATGCTCCAGTTCCTTACCTTCCACTATGAATGCGTGAGACGCCTCCTCTCCCTCCTGAAAGACCTTCACCCCCTGGCCGGCTGTGGTGGGGTAAGCGCAGTCCACCAGCGCCAGCAGCTGCTCTCTGCCCACAAACCTCAGCCACTCGTTCTCCATCAGCGCCGCCTCGATCACTCTCTGAGAGCTTGGAGACAGAAAGTGACAGAGAGAGAGAGTGAGAGAGACAGAGGTAGAGCGATACGCACTGTACATCAATAGTTCAGTGTCACTTGCACGGCCTTTGCATTGGCTCGCCTCCGGGCCAGCGTCAAAACAGAGTGGAAAAATCTCAGTTCAGCCTCCAACACTATTATCAACCTCTGCTCCAACGTGTGGGTGAAATCCTGAGGCGCGGCTATCAGAGGTGGAGTAGCCCCTGAGGCCACGGCCATATTTTACAGAAGGAAAAGAGAGATGAGGGCCAGATGGAAGCAAAAAGATAAGAGGATAGTGTAGAGATGGGCTACTCAGATATCCTCATATTTAAATAAACAGTAGGCTATTTGAATTTCCTGATGAAAAAACATGTTTAACACTGGAACCACTTATCAATATATCAATAATTACTGATAACAGCTATGAAGCAGAATTCATCACTTTATTTCTTTCCATTCTGAAGTCTTGTATGCAGGAAAAACACCATCAGAGACAGTATTTCATGCTGGTTTAATATTCAGTCGTAAACGTACAGTTTGATGAGGTCTTTTCACACTGGATAGATTTCTATGGATTTAATGCACTGAAACCAAGTGCACTCAAGGCTCTGCTTAAGACTGAAGTATTAGCGAACGGCCTACAAGAGCCACCGTGAGCTCTGATGTAAAAGACAGTATTAGTGTTAATGTTTATGCTTTCAGAACTTCATTTTTGTTTGTTTTTGTTTCTGTAAAATTCAGACTCAGCTTTGTCGCCCCCATCTGGCAGAAGTGGAAACTGACCTAGACATACTGAATATGACAGCAATATAACAGCAGGTTTAAATAATATAAAAGTCAACATTTATAAATCACTTTGTCCCATTTTATCAATGTTTCAATACTGCTTACTGTCCCAGCTCTCAATATTTAAATCTTTTATGAATATGGAGTCAAAACACTGAAGGTTTAATAAAGCAACAAGCCACAAAAGGCTGTTCATTATAGATGTTCGGGTTGAACAAATGTTTTACAGAACTCGATAAACTTTGGAAAAGCAATTCAAATAACCTACACTTTCACCTGTGTTGATGGAAGTATGTGCTTCTGTGCGTCTGTTTTTATCAGTACGAAAGGAAACAAACTTTTGTTTATGAAGCGAAGTGCTAGCAAGTCACTAGTAGAGTGCAAGAATGTCAAATACAGTGATTTCAGCCATAAACTGTCTTTTCCTGTCTAAGCTGCGCTGATATCTCAGCAGTCAGTAGTCAGAGGTCGGGCTGTCGAGACTCTGTTCAGTTTTTAAGACAATGCTGTTTACTCTCCTGCACTGCTCATCACTAGCTTTTTCCATCTGTGTCAGATGTCAGATTGGGCAAGATCCCCCAGGATAGCATTTTATGCTGCTTGCTATGATAAAAGTTGTTTATCTGCAGTGTTTTCCCTTTCCTTTGTAGTATTTCACGCTTCAATAATAGTAATAACAATAATAATAATAATAATAATATTGGTTTGCTCTCCCGCACCGCACGGTTCTCCGGCTGGGCAACCAGGTTCCTTTCTGTGTGGAGTTTGCATGTTCTCCCTGTGTCTGTGGGCTTCCAAAGACATGCAGTCAGATGAACCGGACATGCTAAATTGCCCCTAGGTGTGATTGTGTGTGTGTGACTGTGTATGTCTGTCTGTCTGCCCTGTGATGGACTGGTGACCTGTCCAGGGTGTTTCCTGCCTTCTGCCCAGTGACCGCTGGGATAGGCTCCAGCTCCCCCCTGACCCAGGAGGATAAGCGCCTTAGAAAGTGTGTGTGTGATGATAATAATATGCGTTTTTTTATTTCATTTAACCATTAAAGTGAAACTCATATCTTAGGCTTCCCTCATTCTTTTTGAATATTTATGTCCTTACTCCCTTATTCTAAATGAATATTTAAATATTAATGATCATATGCAATAAAATATTTGAAAATGAAAGTACTGCTGCAGCCCTTACAGACTTTCCCATGTTAAAGGATGCTGTTATGTAGAGGGAGAAAGATATGTGGGCTAGTAGTGGACAAAAACAAAGAAGAGTGTGAGAGAGTAAGTTGATGGACTCACTCTTGGCTCTTGCTGTGGCTCACTGGAGGGTTTTGTAAGAGCAGTTTGGGGTCCAGGTCTGTAGGCTCTGTTACCACAGCTCTTCTCTTCGCCCTTAATGAGGGAGCCCGGTGCTGCCCTACAGCGTGAAAAACAGAGCACGAAAAGCTTTCATTGACTGTTACAGTGCAAGGTGAAAATATGGGGATTATGAGGTATGGTTTGATAAAAGGCTGGAGTTTTTTGCATTTCTCCCCAAATTAGCCATCCAGTTCTGTCCATTAGTTAGGTTTCCTCCATCACACAATACCACCAAGCTGGAAGGGTGAAGGCTAGCACCCGCTTCCTCCAAGTTACACAAAGCGCTACCACATCATTTCCAACTGTGGCTAACACATCGCTATGGGACAGCTAGACGCCTCATTCTGTTACGCCAGGCTGTGTTGGACAGCACTGTGCATTGTATGAGTGATAATGGAGATGGAGCACCATTCTGCCCAGTGAGCCAGGGCAAATATGCTTTCTTGGACCCAATCCCATTTCACCCCTTGCCTCTACCACTTAGCCCTACCCCTTCATTTTGCACATTCACGCCTAGGGGGTAGGGTGTCCTGATTTTAGTTGAGATAGAGGGATAGAGTGAAGTGTTAGGGCTACATGGTCCTCCAAATGGAGGTTTTTTTAGAGGTACACTTCAAACAGAGTGTTATGAAAAAAAAGAAAACCAACAAGATGGCTGCACGAGCGACCGAAGAAACCCACAAATGTGAGTATTTTCTCCATTAAAAAATTATGATGACCATTGTATTATCTTAGTTTAATGTATTTTCAATGTATTATGATCCTTTTTCTTCATAACAAGCATAAAAAATTGCTACTGGTATGCTGATGTCTTGGTAGCTAGCTAAATTTCCCATTCTACCTTAAATGGTACAGCAGTTCTGACACTTAAGGTGGCGAAAGCTGACTTCAGCTTTATATCACTGAAGAATTAGAGGTGGGAGATGATAAATAATTGCCCCACCCCCCGCCCCCCTTTGAAGGCATATGATTCACCAAATGTAACTAAAGCCCAAAAGTGAGGTTGATGAACTTCACCCTCCTCTGCTGTCACTGCAGACTGGCAGGGTCACCTACAGAGCAGTGCTAGTAGCTGTTAATGAAGTAATGCTGTTTTGTATTTGAGGGTCCCATTTCATAGAGGAAGATTTCAACAACTACTCCTTGTAACTCTGCTCCCAGGGGCAAAGTGACACTCGAAAACAAGGGGTAGGGGTAAAAATAATAAATGGAATTGGGCCTTGGACTCCTTACGGATGGCTGTGGCATCACTGAGGATTGAACTTGTCAAGAAGGTCAACGCTTAGATGGTTGCACCACTCAGGAGATCCTCAGTTTGTTGTTATTAACCCATTCAAGGTGAATTTGAAGTGTCAGTTACCAGTGATGACAACAAAAGCATGTCATTATTTTCTCTCATAGCTTATAATTGACATGAAATTAGCAGAGAAAGTGTGTTGAAAGCGCCGGTTCTACTTTCAATCCATACCCCATTTGTGTTTGTGATTAGAAAAAGCGATGTCTTATTATGATTGGAATGATTTGCAGCCTTGTTTTGGAGAAAGAAAAAACATCAGGCCTCTGAATATAAATTGAATGTAAACGTAACATTCATTTATAACATAGCTTTGCAATTAGTTCCATAATTATGCAATTACTTACAGCAATCCGACAGTAATAACTCTAGACATCGAATGGTTAACAGATGTGGTGGTCTTGGCTCTGTTTGTGCAATTTGTGATTGGGTCTTTAAGAGGACACAGAAGTGAGCGCTTCAGTGGGTTTGAAAATGGAATGGAGTAATGGAAAAATTCAATGGGAAACATAATTAAACCATCAAAGGCAACACTTCACTCTGTGATTTTCTCTTCAATACAGGCCTTGAGGAGGGCAGGTCGGAACGTCCTATGTGCAGCAGCCTAAAACCTTAGCCGGGGGCTTCGATTCAGCATCAATTCCACTTGCACCTGTTCTTCAGATACAGCTCAATAAGCATCAGCACCTTCTCTGCCTTACATTTCAATTGTTTACCTGCTTGGTAGGCAATACAGTGCGAGGCTGCTCCAAAATCACAGGCCAATTCGCGTTCGTGTGAAAAATACCCATTTTAAATGTTACAGGACTATAATTGCCTGAGCTCCCAAAGGTCTAACAATGTCAACATACTGTCACAGTCCAAAAAATTAAAAAAGCGCCATGAGAATAGCAGATGTCTTTTACATGGTGTGAAATTTGATGGAAAGACTAATAACAATGCACCAATAAATGCACTTAGAATAAAATCCTTTTACGTTAACTTACAATGAATGTTAATAACGTTGGTAACACTTTACTGTAGGCTACATGAAAGCCATATAAGCTTGTCATGACAACTGACATAACCCTACATAAATGATTATAAATGCTTATTCCCATAGGCATCATCTGTCATAAAGGCTACTTTAGCTAACTTTGATCAAAATTGGCAAATGTTACCTTTATAGCGAATGACAACTATTGGAATAAGCATTTATAAACATTTATGTAGGGTTATGTCAGTTGCCAAGACAAGTTTATGTAGGTGTCATGTAGCCTTATGAACAGTACCCTTCAGTAAAGTTACTTTTTTGGAGATACTTGTTTGACAGCGATTATGTATAAACCTGAACTGATTAACGATCATTGTATTCCTAGTAATTTAACTCCAGCTTGTGTTTACACTTGAACCCCATCCATTCTATCACTGCTAAATTCCCACAAGAGAAGTGCAGATGTGAAAGTGCGTGACTTGATTTATAGAATCAAGAATCAAGAAAATGATTGTGCGGAGTTGACTCTTGGAATTGACTCCCATCACTTGGAATCGGAGTCGAGGGTGTCTAGACTCAAACAGTCCTAACTGGCATTCTGCAAACCGCCTAAATCATCTCACAACTGCCAAAGAGAATGAAGTTGGCTACCTGTGGACGACCCAGGAGCACCGAGAGTGACCCGCAGACGGTCCAGCTCTCCCTGCAGGCGGCGGATCAGGTCATCTTTGGCGTCCAGCTCCAGCTCCAGTTCATCAATCAGAGCGTCTCTCTGCCGCAACTCTTCAATCTTCAGCTGGAGCGCAAACTGTAGATCTCTGAGAGTCCCCATAATGCCTGAAAACGAATAGAGGCTAATCAGAACTGAGCTACGCTCCAGTGAGAAAGTAATACTTTAAATTAACATGATTCAAATGCATTTACACAATATAATAACATCATTTTGTCTTGCAGTTCACTAACTTTGGTGATTATTGTATTGACGTAATGTATTTTATTCCTGTGAAAATGATGTACATTTCAATGTAATTCACAAATGCATATCAAATGTCTCTCTCTCTCTTTCTCTCCCTTTCTCTGTCTCTGTCTTTGTCTCTCTCTCTCCCTCTTTCTCCCTCTGCTCTATATGTGTGTGTTACTGAAGAAGAGAGAGCAGCGTAGTAATTAGCCTGTATAGCCTTAAGTGATGAAAATGAAAGAATCATTGAGCAGGATGTAGCCTACTTAGAGAAAAGAGTAAGATTAAAGACAAAAAAGTAGTCAAACCAGAAGAGATTTCAGGCTAAATGTCATCTGCTACATTTCCATATAAAAATTCATACTGAAGCATTTTACCCTGATAATTCATATTAAAGCATTTTCTTCTGAAAATTCATTCTGAAAATTCATACTGAAGCATTTTCTTTCTGAAATTTCATACTGAAGCAATTTCCTCTGAAAATTCGTACTGAAAATTCATACTGAAGCAATTTCCTCTGAAAATTCATACTGAAGCTTTTTCTTTCTAAAAATTTGTACTGAAAATTCATACTGAAGCAATTTCCTCTAAAATTAGAAGATTTATACTGAAACATTTTCTTCTGAAAATTCATACTGAAAATTCACACTAAGGCATTTATTTAGAACATTAAAACTGAAATATTTTCCTCAGAAACTCATACTGAAGCATTTCCCTCTGAAGATTCAAGACAGCCTGAATCCCTCTCTGAAGAATACTCTGTGTAAAAGCTAAGTGTAAGAGAGACATGCAGAGCTGGAGGAAGCATCAATGCTGACTGTGATCTGTAAGTTGAGGAAGAGACGCAGCGTTAAACTCTCACCTGTTCAGAGGCGCAGAGCTGGAAACGGTGTGCTTCTCTCCGCAGTGCACGGTGGATCTGAACGCTCCTCTACACTCGCATTGTCTCCTCTCCGGCTGAGAGTGAGCGAGAGAGTGAGGATGAGACCGTCACACACTCTGCACACACACACACACACACACACACACTCTCTGCTGGGAGAGAGGAGTGTGTGAACAGAGGACTAACACCGTCAATGCAGAGAGAGAGAGAGAGAGAGAGACAGAGAGAGACAGAGGGGTAAAGGGGACAGTGAGAGGAGAGAGAGAGAAAGGTAAAGGGTGAGAGAGAGGAGGGTGAGAGGTAAAGGGAAAGAGAGGTAAAGGGGAGAGAAAGACAAGTAAAGGGACAGAGAGATAGAGAAAGAGGAAAAGGGCGAGAGATAAAGAAGAGATAGAGATGATGAGGGCAAACGAGGTAAAAGGGAGAGGGAGAGAAAGAGAGAGAAGTAAAGGGTGAGAGAGGGAGAGAGAAGTAAAGGGAGAGTAAGAGAATCAAAGAAGGAGGAGGGTGAAAGATAAGGGGGGAGGAAAAGGGTGGGTGAGAGAGAGAAAGAGAGAGAGAGAAAGGAGGGTGAAAGAGGTAAAGGGGAGAGAGAGAGAGAGAGAAAGAGAGAGGGGGAAAGGGTGAGAGAGAGAAGAAGAAGAAAAAATGAGAGTGCAGAGAAGGAGAGGTGGAATAAAGAAAGAGAGAGGACAAAAGGAAAACAAAAGAGAAAAAGGACAATAAGAGGGAGAAAGATGGTATAGAGAGAAAGAGGAAAAGGGAATGAGAGGAAGGAGACAATAGCTAGATAAATAGAGAGGGAGAGAGAAAAGAGAGAGTAAAAGAACAAAAAAAGGATAAAGGAAAGGAAAAAGAGGTGCTACTGAAGGGATGGGGAGAGAGACAGAGAGATACTGAAAAAGAGAAAAGAGGGATAGAGAAAGGCAGGAAAAGAGAGCATAGAGAGATGAGTGGAGGCAGAGATAGAGAAAAGGAGAGAGAGAGAGAGAGAGAGAGAGAGAGAGTAACCCTCATTGTTATGTTCACTTCTCAGTGTTAGCCTGTGTTATGGTTATGCAATCTGTGCTAGAAGGCCACTTGTAAAGTGTGAAGGGATTTTTCAGGAACACGCACAGCTAACAGGCACTCAGCGTTATCCAACAGCTCAAAACACTAATACTGCATTTGATTAAAGCTCATCACTCACAATTTCTGACCTCCAAGCAGGAAAAAGTGAAGAAAATGCACCCTCTACTGGGAATTCTACTCACATAGTCATGAAGATGACCTCAGGGTCTATCAACATTGCTGCTCACACCACCAACAGTAATAAAGCTGAGTTGAAGGGGCAACTGACCACTGCTTATTTCTTCTATTATATCAGAAACAGGACAAAACAGCTACTATACACCACAACTAGTACACCACTGATAGAAGTCCATTCACTGAGTGTACTGCTCTGCACTGTAGCTGGGTTAAAGATTTACTCATGCCTCCTCCTATACATATATATATGTACTGTAGGTGGTTTTATATATAAGCTTTTTAAAAGGGTTCTATATAGCACATAAAAGGGTTCTTCTATTGTTTCAAGCTTGACATCGTAACAATAGAAGAACCCTTTTTGATGCTATTTAGAGCCATTTTCAAAAAGGTTCTGTATAGAAACATCTACACCACATTCTCCATCAATCTTTCTTTGCATCGTGAAATGGTTCTTCAGACTGATGGAGAATATGCTGTAGGTGGTGCTATATAGAATCATTTTCAAAAAGGTTCTATATAGTACCCAAACAAGGGTTTTTGGCTTGTAACAACAGTGTAACTTGTAACAACCCTTTTTGATGCTATATAGAACCCTTTTCAAAATGATTCTATATAGAGCCATCTACAGCACATTCTCCATCAATCTGAAGAACCTTTCACCATGCAAAGAACCCATTAATCATGCAAAGGCTTCTTTGAGTGTTCATGGTTTTCTATAGAACCATTTTCTTTACTAAAGAACCATTGAAGAACCATCCTTTTTAAGAGTGTACACACTTGGCAAAAAAATTTCTATATAGTACCAAAAAAGGGTTCTTTGGCTTATAACAACAGTGGAACCCTTTTTGGTGCTTTATAGAACCATTTTGAAAATGATTCTATTTAGAACCGTTCCACAGCACATTCTCCATCAATCTGATTAAATCATGTAAGGGGTTCTTTGAGTGTTCATGGTTTTTTACAGAACCATTTCCTTTACTAAAGAACCCTCTTTTTAAGGGTGTACACTCTTAGCAAAAAGGGTAATGTATAGTACCAAAAAAGGGTTCTTTGGCTTGTGACAACAGCAGAACCCTTTTAGACGCTATATAGAACCCTTTTCAAAATGGTTCTATAGAGAACCGTCTACAGCACATTCTCCATCAATCTGAGGAACACTTTCACAGTGCAAAGAACCCTTTAATCATGTAAGATATACAGAACTATATTATATAGAACCATTTTCTTCACTAAAGAACCCTTGAAGAACCATCTCTTTTAAGAGTGTATAAATTTCCCCCTTAACATACATTTTAACCATGGCTTCAACCTGAAACTCAGTTGAGAATCAGCCGCTTTCTTCATAATTTGAATCTAAATAAAGTGAGGCCTTTGTGGGAATTCAACCAGATTGATTTCCGTGCTTTGCAGAGAATATTAACAACTGGTTGTGTTCCAGTCATTATAAGTTTCGATCAGTGGCCATTTTATTTCACTGTGGACGAGCGGCAATGAAGGGTGATTCAAAGTGACTCCTCTGAACTGATTCCCAAGCTTGAATGAATCTCTTACATCCACACAAAAACACAATGCTGAATAAAGTGAGGCCTTTATGGGAATTCAGCTAGATTGAGTTCAGTGCTTTGCAGCCGCTGTCAAATATCGATTTTATCAAATAAACTATTTCTTATATTTCAAGACTTGGAAAAAGTCATTCATGCTTTCATTTCTTCATGTCTACATTAATGTATTTCTCTGTGTAGATGACCTAATAAGTTGCCTCGCCTCCAGGTAGTACCGAACGTAGCTGCTGGGCTGCTTATAGGCACCAAGAAAAAAGGGACCACATGTCTTCAGTTTTAGGCTCAGTCCCGTTTCACCCCTCGCCCCTAATTTTATTAATATTGTTACGTTTTATTTTATGATTTATTTTACGATTACATTTTATTATTATCATTATTATAGCAAGACAGAACCAGCCAGACGCTTGTGGTGAAAATGAGGCTTTACTCATACAGGGTTCGACAATACTCATAGTCGGTAAACAGGTGGTGGTCAAATCCAAAAAGGCCAAAATACAGAGAATGACATAAAACAATATCAGGCAACCGGATCCAAAAGGGCAAAGACAAAAAGGGGCAAAGTCAGGAAGTCCAAAACTATGTTCATGAAAATACAAAGGCAATATCACAGACAGATACACTCAGTAGCTCTACAGGTAGAAGCAGTACATCACAAAGACCCTATACTAAAGCACAGGCTTAAATACTAACCTAGATCTAGTCATATGACACACATAACAGGTGAGACAGGTTAGTACCAGAGCCGATTTATGAGGAGCCTGGTCACTTCCTGTTTCCCCTGTTATATCAAAAACATGACTGCAAAACAGCAGAGGGCGCCCACGTCCTCAATACATGGGAGTAAATGGAGCTCAAGGGCTAAAAACAAAAAGTTATAATAGTTTCTAATCACTAACACTTAATTAATTTTAGAAAGTAGAAGGATGTATTTCACTAAAACAAAGAAGACTCACCAATTTATTTCCTTTTCTCTACAGCAAACGGGTTTTGGGCAGCAGGACGCTAGCATTACTGCTACTGAGTGCTGACTGGCTGGCGAGTTGAGCAGCTCATTGGCTGTTGCATTGTCACGTTCACTGATGTCATGAATGTACATAAGGCACGTTTTAAACTCTTACAGCTTGAGTTTAAAAGCTCTTAAAAATATAACAGCAACGTTAAATGTTTATGCTATTCAGTGTTCAGGAAATGATTGTATCTTTTATATTAATTTTTTTTAAGCATTTATAAACTATAGTTTTGCTCAAATGCTTCATATTAACCTATTCATTTTTGACTTACTTGGGAGCGCCCTCTAGCATTGGAGAAATTCGTAATTCTCCTATCTACAAGTTCTCTGTTAGCACTCAGATGAATGGAAATAGTGATTGGTGGATTGTGGAGGCTCATCGGTCATGTGATCTCCCAAAGACTTCTGGGAAATAGAGTCTCTGAGAATGTCAAAGCCAGAGGGAGGCGTGACAATTATGAATTTTCTTTTGGATAAACTATTTAGTATTTTACTGTTACTCAATTTATACTGTTTACTATTATTAATTTTATATATTTCTTTTTATGCACAGAACTTTGGTCAACTGCTGTTGTTTTAAACGCGTTCTATAAATAAAAACTTACTTTATTTACTTACTTACATTTAAAGTCACAATCGTGATAAGGTAGCCAACCTATTTTCAGTGTAGTCGTAGTGCAGTATGTCATCACTGTCCAAAAAACCCATGTATCTCCATTTTTTGTTGATGTTTATTTTTCTGTACCATTTGAACATGGTGGCTGTCACAATGAATGGACCTATAGAAACGCTCCAAAATTACTTTTAAAAAAATACATCATGTCTTTACATTAACTTCCATTAGAAGTTAAGAAAGTTTTGGTCATCTCCTGTAAACTTACCAATTTGGAGATACTTGATAAAAAAAAAAAACACAGTATGAAACAATGAAGCTGAGCTGTCGATTTCAATGAATCGATTCCTGCATAGTTTGATTCACTTAAGTGAGTAGTTGTGAAGAATCAAATCAGTAAAGTAAGTCATAGTGGCACAGTCAATAAATCCTGCCTCAAGTCAAAAAAAAGATGGTTCGTCAAGGGTTCTTTAACAAAAGGAATGGTTATATTTAGAACCATCAGTTCTAATTAGGACCATTTCATGATTAAATGATTCTGCAGATCGATGGAGAATGTGTTGTATAGTTCTATATAGAACCTATTTGAAAATGGTTCTCTATAGCACTAAAAAAGGGTTCTTCTACTGTTATGATGTCAAGCTTGTAGAAAGAATCATTTAAGCATGAAATGGTTCTATATAGAACTCAAATAGAACCATTCCCTTTACTAAAGAACCTTTGAAGAACCATCTTTTTTAAGAATGTAGGTGTGCGAAAGGCTACACCAGACCAAAACTGATTAATAAGGTAAAGTCTACCTACGTTTGGACACCTGATTTAGCTCATCAGTTACTGAGATGTAGTGACCGGATCACTCGGACGTTTATACGACCAGTTATAAGTGTTGCAAAAGAAAACAAGTGACTTAGCATAATGACATGCTCAGTCAACTGCTAACTTGTAAAATAACAAAATTATGAATTATAACTGAATACCAGTCTACATTTTATTATTCCTTTGGACACCAAATGCCATATGAAAGTGGGTGGTTGGACAGATGTCATAAAACTTGTCTATCACAACTGATAACAACAAGGCTGATCTGGGCTGTAATTGCATCACACTCAAGAAGTAGTTACGTGTTGCAGACGGCACATAGTCTTCTTGAACAGCTTCCCTAAAAGGGTCATTCCAGAATATAGTGTTTCATATGTTATTTGTTGTGGTATGCAATATTAGTACAGGATTGCATCCCTCGACCTCAGCAGTTTGACAGAATTCACGTTTTCATGCATACATCTATAGCATGAATTTTGTAAATATGTCATTAAAATCATTAAATCTCAGTGGTGTCAACCAAGTGTGACTGCTAGGCAATTATCTATAGGCTAATAAACACAACCAAGCTAGCGTCAGTGTAATTCCCAGCTTGGTCGTCAGAAAAATCATAAAGAAAACAGTGATTCTATCTTTATTCAGCACAAAATTACAGCCAAAATGTTTTTACCCTTTCGGCCAGAGAAAAGAAGCCATACTGAGGTAAGATACTCAGATAGCCAGGTAGCTGTACATCATTACAGTGGACAGAGTGGATTACTCAAACAACAGAAGCGACTTGTTCATAAGCTAAGGTTGTACAGTCTTTCAAGAGATCCTCCAAACATCAATATGCGTGATGAGAAGAGGTATTTTCTAGTTTTTAAATCTGTACTGGTGATGATGGATTAAAAGCTGGAGGAACAGACCAACAGAGCTTTTAAGGCCATTTTATTAAAACCATCCACAATAAAACTGGTGTGCTATGATACCTAGAACCACACTGGAAGAGTCAAACGATGGATGGCACCAAAGAAAAGAATGAAACAAAACCTAACCATGCTTGCCTACTCTGAAACAAAAAGTACTTAGCTAACATAAAAGAAAGAAAACGAAAGCTAACTACTCTACACTTCCTTGGCCAGCAACCAAGTACATGTAGCGGTGCCTGACCTCTGATCTAGGGAACTAGACAGAGTAGACTAATGTATAGGCGTGCCCCTCTTACCTGTTTGAACCCCCAGGTGGTACAATCAATCTCTTCTGAATCAAAGTTAAAATTGTGCAGGTAAAATACCAACTAAAGCACTTCTCCTAACACAAAAGACAAAGTCTTGCAAACTAAGTTAAAAGAAGCGCCGGTAAAATACCAAACACACCCCCAACACAAGAGATTAAAAACACAAACTAAAACACAGCACACATGATCAGTCCTCGATCAGTCCTCGATCAGTCCTCCCTCAGTCCTCAGTCCTCCCTCCCTCTCTCTCTCTCTCTCTCTCTCTCTCCCTCCCTCCCTCCTCCCTCCCTCCCTCCCTCCCTCTCCCCTTCAGCCATCTTAAAGGCCTCTCTTAAAATATGGTTCCCTCCCCCAACTGCACCAACCAGGCCTCTGATTGGTTAGAGGTCCTCCGAAACATGACTGAGTGCAGAGCAGGTACACCTGAGAAGGGAAATACTAGGAGGGAGAGAGAGAGAATCAAACACACACAAAAAAAAATACGTCATAGACATAACATTTAGCTATGTAAGATGGCATCTTTACAACACGTAGCAATGATTACACTTTTCATTCTGGTCGCACTGTGCCTTTAATATCTGAAGCCCCATCTTGCTGTGCATAAAGTATAATGAGGCAAACTGAAACGTTTGAATAACCAGTACAAGCCACAAAATTTCCAAGCATGTTCAGAAACTGAAAGTACATATCCATCATGCCAATAACCTAACGACACACCTCTAAAGTCCATCGAGAAAAAGAGCACAATGAGCCTGTAGCAAAGACCCACTGAACAGAATCACCACATTTTTCCTACATGGTCATTTTCACATTTTCAGTGTTTTGATCATGTTTGGTGGTGGTGGTGGTGGTGGGCTCTCTTGTACCTGAAATCATTTTGGTAATTAATCTTCAAGTCTTCCCTACAACTATTGCAGATGCTATTTTATGGCTTCCGTGTGGTAGCATATCACAATATTCCTGGACTGGCCATAGTGTAAGTTGTCCTTTACTAGCTTTGCAGAATTGGAATTCCCCTGAACTGGACTACTTAGTGTTTCCCTGCTCTAACGTTGGTGTATTGTATTGTATTGTAAGATATGTAGAAATATATATATATATAGTATCTATACAAATATCTCCAAAATAGTAACTTTACAAGAGAAGGCAAAAACACTCTTACCTTTCATTTTAAGTTAACATAAAGATAATTTTATTTCAAGAGATCCTCCAAACATCAATATGCGTGATTTTAGAGCATACATATATATATATACACACACACACACGCACATATATATAGATACATAGATAGATGGATGGATAGAGCCACTGACATATGAGTTCATTTGTCTTTGGCTACCCAAGGCATCACCCCCTGAACATTTCCAGGTTTATTTTATACTAAGGCTTATTATTCAGTAACTGCAGGGACTTAAGTGCAAACTAATAGAGCTATTCTTAGGTTATAGAAGTGTGCAATAATACTTGGCAGACCCACTGGCAGGCCCATGGCTTGTTAAAGGCTTAACATATGGATCACAAGGCACAAAACATACAGAGCAAAGCATACAATCACCTAAGGTCTCACACGAAGGCAGAAACTAAAAAAGGTACCTAAACAAAACGTTATAGCAATCCCACACTTTATGAATGATCCCCACTGCATTTGGGACAAAATAGGCTACCTCCAGTATATTTTAGTTAGTCATACTGTGTATTCTCCCTATTTTACTTACTTTTTATGTATTGTATGAAAAACATATCAGATACCATAGAACTTCACTGTTTTTTATTTCAGTAGGAATTAGCTGCCTGTCCACAATAACAGCAGCTTTATGATATAAACTCTCGTCTAGATCTGTAAAACGCAGCCTTAAATCCAGCACTGAGGCAGTTCCTCGTGTTTTTCAGCTGATACACAGCAGCAGTCCAGCACAACGTCGAGATGCAACTTTCGCCTAGTGACAAGAAATCTGGATTTCTGATTGGCTAAAAAAAGCAGAGCAGGGCGGAGCTTGCGGCGGTGTTATGAGGCGCGTTTGGCACTTTCGCTTTAGACCTACCGTCTGCTGAGGAGGAGTGAGGAGGCTTTTTGGAGCAGCTCCGATAAAACCTGCTTAAACGCCGAATTTATTTGTCCGTAACAACTGGTTAACTTAGCACTCAGCGGGAAAATGCATCTGCTGCTTTCTTTTGTCGTGCTCGCCGTCCTGAGCGCCAGTTCCTTCGCCAAAGTCTGTAAGTAACTCAGCTAACGTTAATTACGAAGCTATTTTTTGACGCCATTCGGGCCTCTTACTGTGTTGTGTGGTACCATTTACCGCCTAAATGTAAGTTAGTTAACATAGTATCTAATTTTAAACGTCATTTTAAAAGCCATATTTAGTTCGTTGTTGCTAATGACTGGTAAAGTCTAACCTCTAAAATTGTTTTGAAGCTGCTTTGACTTGACCGAGCTAAACGAAAACAGGAAATGGTTTTAAAATTGGCGTAGAACCTGAAAAATGTAATCATTATAAGCGTATCTTCCTCAGATAGCGTTTTTTATTAACGCGAATGCCTTGTTTTAAGCCTTTTTCTGTTTCTGTACAGCCGAGGCCTTTATTGTTTGTGGAAATCCCCCCACCAGTTTACTTTCACTTTAGGTTCAAGGAAGTGTCTTTGTCTCGAGAACCAGCGTAACGTAGATATCAAGGAAAAACAACATATTTGTGCTGAAAAACGGCTTTACAGAGTCAGTCTTCTAATTTTACCGTTTTTCTTGATTTTTGGAAGCAGCAGTAAGTGTTTTAAGTCCTTAACTTAACATTCAAGAGTGAAAATAAATAAATCAAATCAAGTTAAAATGTAAAGAAATGTTCTAAAGATCCTAAAAAAAAAAAACAGCAGTTCCTCAAAAATCTTTGGTAAATTAGATACGGCACTAACAATGATCATACAGCATGGCCGCAGTTTTCTGGCTGCCGCCTTCGCTCTCACAAAACAGGTTGTTTGGCATGCTGCTTTCCCCTGAAGGTTCTCGTTGTTTATTCACGTGTATGTTTTAATCCCCAGCTTCACCAAAAGTCCAGGTTTACAGCCGTAACCCTGGAGAATATGGGAAGGATAATGTGCTGATCTGCCACGTTAGTGGCTTCCATCCCCCAGACATCACCATCAAGTTGCTGAAGAATGGCGTGGAAATCATGGACACCAAGCAGACTGACCTGGCCTTCGAGCAGGGCTGGCAGTTCCATCTGACCAAGAGTGCAGCCTTCAAACCCGTTTCTGGAGAGACCTACGCCTGCGAGGTCCAGCACATGGGCAAACAAAATAAGTACAGCTGGGGTAAGAATGCTGTGTGAAGCCTGTGTTAAGCGGAGTGCTGGTCAGAGTTTTGTTGTAGTTGATGTTATTTTGAATATGAAATCTTCGAGATATTTTAGTTGAAGTGAACTTTGAACATGTTTTTGCTTTCTTTTCTTGCAGAGCCAGACATGTAAACAGCTGGAGTCTTGGTAGGTGCTTGTTACATTATACTACAGTTATAGTTTCAGTGACACTTTTCATAGCGAAATTGAAATTGAAAAAAACACTTTTTTACATGTTGTGTTTCATTCAGTACTCTATACTTCATTTTACAAAGAAGATCAGTAATACATTGATTCTTTTTTTCTTGCCCCACAGATTCCATTTGGATAATTTTGTTTTTATTATGCCTTATCTACTGGCGATACCTGGAGATACCAACATTTTGACAATAACTTTAATCCATACATCTGTCATCCACTCTATCATGTTGTTCTGTAACTTTGTATAATCATGCACAATTACATTTTACCATTTACTTTTTAGCTTCTGGCTAAACACTTTCAAATGATACAGACAGTTTGCCTTTTCTGGAAAATTACATACTTAGCTGTTTGTCTTGGTTTTTAGCCACTGGCAACGGAGGTTTTCTAAATGTAAATTTTACTTTCACCTACCTTTTTCATATTTGCTCTGTCACATTTATGAACCGTAACGAAAAGTTTTAGGATTCTTTGTGTGTTTTTGTTTTGATTTTTCCTAATAATACTTGTAAGAAAATGACTTTTGTCTTTAAATAAATTTATTCCCCTTCCCCAAACCTAGTGTTGTATTTATTTATTTGCTTGTTTATTTATTTATTTTCTTCCTTACTGTTATTCTGACAAATCTGGCCTCCTGCACTGAGATTGACTAGTATTTAATATTCACAAGCAGTTAACGGGTTTATGACACATGTAGGGTTGCCACCCATCCAGGATTTCTCTGGACTATCCTGCAAGAAAATTGGGCCACTGATAGTGTCCAGAAATTTTACAGGGCTGAGGTGGCAACCTTACACCGAACAGTTAAGGTAATGATTTTAAGATAACGTCAAACAAAGATGGCCTGAACTAGACAATATATGATGTATATATCTATGTAGCATATAATCACAAGGTCTGCTGGTGCAATCATGAAACCTGCTTTGCAATTCTACATACATTTACTGCTGTATTTATCCTATGATCTGTAAACGTTACTCGGAAGCACCAAGAAAGCCTTGAAGTAATGTGGATTTCATGCAGTTCAGTGCTTTAATATATGTATTCATGTTCTGATCAGGGCACCTACTTGGCACATAAAACGCTAGCTACTATCCTTAATGTGGTTGCCATTAGGGCGAAGGCATCAAATGGCCATAATTTGAATTGCAGGGCTGCAAATGCTACTGTGCAACAGATTTTGTTGAAGATGAACACAAATCAGGAATCATAATGCATTTTCCTTTCTTACTTTAATGCAGTATAAGGGAGGATCCCTGAGCTAGCTGAGTGTTTTTTCTCAATACTTTATGAGGGTGATGGGAGGGGGAGGAGAAACAATAATATTGATTGATGCTTTTTCCCCGCCCACTGAAGCACAGTGACATAATCAAAAATCACAGGCGGGCAAAAAGAGTTCACAACAAGATGTGGAAGACTACAGAAAAACAAGAATTTTACAAGGTAAAAAAGGTTGGATTTTAGGTGGAGTTTAACGTCAGCATTCAGTGCTATTATAGAAGACACAGCTGACGTACAAGTCATGTTGTGCACAAAGAGAGTTGTCACTAATACTCCAATATTAACATGCAGAACATTTTAAACACGCTGCAATATGTTTCCCAGTTTTTAATAACATTTAAAAAACTGAATTAGCTTTGTTTGGCTATTTGAAATGTACCACCCTATATTTGCTGTGTAATTCATCCAATAAAGTAATGGCCAACAAACTAGCCAGTTCGTGAGCTGCCTTTGCTGCATGTCCTGAAGTGAAAGTAAAACAGTATAATGTTGAGGTACTTTCCACCTGAAGCAGTTTTAACATGCACTGAGAACTCGCAAACAACACTCACCAGTGTTCTCAATGGAATCAATAATAATGTTAGTGTTCCAATATACACAACATTTCATCTGTACTGAGTACTAGCAAACTAAGGTTTGCTATGGCATCCTTACATAGAAATTCTAGCTAATGTTCTTATTAGAATGATTAAGGTTGTTTTTATTAAAATGTTTTAGCGTTGGGGTCTTATTAGTATGTACTGACTTCTAATTAGTACCTACTAGTTTATGTTGTTATTAGAATGTGCTAGTTGTACTACCTTGTGTTTTATTACACTAGCTAGCAAGCTAGAAATAAATCATCTAGTACACTAGCTAGCTCATTAATACTAAGTACTAGCTAGTGTAATAGAATGTGTTAGCCAGTGTTCTTATGTATTAGATAATATTATAATTTGCACATTTTAATAAAAACATTAGCTAGCTAACATGTTCTGATACAGTAGCTAGCTAGAAAGGTTATGAGAATGTGATTGCTAGTGTTCTTATCAGAATGTGCTCGCCAGTATTCTCATTCATATTCACTAGCTAGGGTACTAGAATGTGTTAGCCAGTGTTCTTATTACCTTAGAATGTATTAGATAATATTATCATTAGCATATTTTATTTAAAACACCAAGTAGCTAACATGTTCTGGTACAGTAGCTAACTGGTAAGGTATCTTAGCACATTATGAGAATGTGATTTCTAGTGTTCTTATCAGAATGTGCACACTAGTATTCTCATTCATATGTACTAGATAGTGTACTAGAATGCGTTAGCCAGTGATCTTCTTACGCTAGAACGTGTTAGATAATATCATTAGCACATTTCAATAAAAACACCAGCTAACATGTTCTGAAACTGAAGCTAGCTAGTAAGTTAGCACATTATAAGAATTTGATTGCTAGTGTTCTTGTTAGAACGTGCTCGCCGGTGTTTTCGTTCATATGTACTAGATAGTGTATTAGAATGTGTTAGCCAGTGGCCTTATTACGTTAGAATGTGCTAGATAGCATTCTCATTAGCTAGGATGTAGCTTTAGCTCTTGCTCCTGGTAGGATGTGATCTCATTCGTATGGACTGTTAGCGTTCTTAGTAGAATATGCGAGCTAGTGTTCCTGTTAGTATCAGTACTAGGTGGTGCTTTTACTACAATGTTCTAGACAGTGTACGGTGCTCGAGAGTCTTAGCTCTAAGGAACGCAGCCGCTTGCTAAGCGGATGTGCACCGCGGCTCGGTTGCAGTTACGGCACGTGACGTCACCTCCGCAAGCAGCAGCGTTTAGACGCTAACGTTGAAGAATTTGGTCCTGTTTAATACATTTCTTTATTTCGGGTTATTTTTTAAAACAAATGTCAAGATGATTCTTACTGTTAAACCGCTCCAGGGGAAAGAATGTAGCGTACAGGTGAGCTCGGGCTGTCGTGCTTTTTTAAAAGGAATGGTTCCGTAAAGCTTTTCTCGATGCTTTAGCTAACCTACGTTGTTCGTGTCCTTAGCCGGCTAGCGGCGTAGCTAACGAGCCAGTTCGGGTTCGGGTTAGCATTGCTCTCCAACTTAACACTCCTGAGTTGAAGAGTTTCAGTCCGTTGAAGGTCAGGTAATGGCCCTTGTTGGCCGTTGAGTTGACCTTTATAGTTAGGGTTTTAGAGTGTTTCAGTGGGCCATGCTAGCAGCGCCATTGGCGTAAATATTTAGCGTAGACACTGAACTGTACAGTAACATACGGGACTAAACAGCCGTGAACGTAACGGTAAATGTAAGGTGTGCAAATTAGTGTTACTTCCTTACTGAATAACTTTTTTTTGTCGTCCTAAATTTTAGAACCTTCTTTGTTTTATGTGTTAAGTCTGATTTTCACTCATGTTACCCTGGTGAAGCCCCGGTTGTCTTAGTTCTGATCCCATCAGAAAGAACTGCTGAGTTCTTCCTTTTACTGGTGGAGGACGACCTGGGTTTGGTTCCTGCACAGTTAAAAAAAAAAAGATGGTACTTCAAAGGTTGTTTAATACACGTAGTGGTTCAAGTTGGAACCATGAGTTCTGTATAGAACCATTTCATCATGGATGGATGTTGAATGTGTTGTATTTTTTGAAAAGGGGTCTGTTCACCACCCAAAAGGGTTTCTCTACTGTAACAATATCAGGCTTGTAACTGTAGAGCCGTTTGGTGCTATGTGGAACCATTTACAAAAAGGTTCTGTATAGAACCACATACAACATATTCTCCATCAACCTGAAGAACAGTTTCAGCATGCAGAGACCCATTTAAGCATTAAGCAGCTCATGGATCTAAATAGAACAATAGTCTTTACTAAAGAACCCTTGAAGAACCATCTTTTTAGGTGTGTAGTGGAGCCCTGGTTTCTTTAGCATGATCCCCAGAGAGAACTGTTTGAGTTCCTCCCTTTACTGGAGGTGTGGAGGGTATGGGTTTGGTTCCTGGGTTGATCTAGAGAGACGGACAGAGAGAACCAATCTATGTGTTGATCAAACCTCAATTAGTTAGTACCACCAGTTTAGGCAGGTTGAAAGAAGCCTCTACATCAAGGGTGCATTACTCTGGTCCAGCACAGTTCGGTGATATCCCTGCTCCAACGCAACTGATTACACTTGTCTGTTAATTGCCAGGTTAAGTGGGTATGTTTGAGGAACAGGGGAACCTCCAAACTGTGCTGGACACCGGCCGTCCCGGACCGGAGTTGTGCACCCCTGCTCTACATTTTTATGTAGAACAAATATTGCTGGAAAGTAGTACTGCGCTTCTTACTTTGTGCTAGAAAGTGTTTTCATTGGTAAGCACAAGCTATTGGTCATATTGGGATGTGGCTCTAGGTGGCTACTAATGCCTGTAGAGCAGTGTTCAAAGTACTCCCTGGTATTTGTGGATCCCATGTTGGCTGGCTACTACAGCATCGGCTAGCTGCTAACCTACTTGCCATAGCAGCACTGTTGCTAGCTTTAACAGCAGCAAAACATTAAAAAAATTCTTCATTTAGAATCGCTCTTTTCTAGTTTGGTAATGCGCTCTTCCATACATTAATTGGGATCTTACACTCTTTTTCCTCAATTTGGGAGATGAGTAACAATTCACCCTTTCAACCAATATCTTGGGAAATTAGGCAAGTTTTCAGACTTACAAATATGCTGTGGCATATTGTAAAGTTTTTCAGAGTTATGCCAAGCATAGTTGTTAGACTATGAAGGACCAACTGAGTGAACCAATATGCTGCAGCGCCACCCTGAGGCAGATTAGTGCTGCATGTCTAGTTCATTAAGAATATTGAACAGAGTTCGCCATTCATGGTTGAAGAAGGCTAAGCAATCACCTTTCCCTCAGTCTGTATTTGAGTGTCTGGTTTTAGCATTACATCATAAGTTTATTTTTCAGGGACCCCCAAGAATTTTGATTTTGAGACATTCAGGGGGTCCAAGAGGTTAATTAGGGTCCCGGACAACCTATATTTTGCACCATGATGTAATGTATATACTTGCACAGTAAATATGCTGGCTAGCGATGACTGAATGAATTTCACTGCCATTTTGTCATTGGTCAACAGGTTGCAGAAAACGAGAAGGTGTCAACAGTAAAAGAGTTAGTATTTGAACGCCTCAACATACCGCCAAATCAGCAGCGATTGCTCTACAAAGGAAAAGCGCTTGCAGGTAGGCCTGAATCTAAGATGGCTGTTGGTTCTGCCAAAGATAAAATGTACACAATTTACCCCTAACCCCAAATGTAGTCGATCAGCTAAGACACGTTTGGTGTGTAAAGTTTGCTTTTTTAGTTTTTCACTAAAGCTGTGAGGCTAACAAATATTGAAAGCTTGTACCCACCAAAATACCGTCCTAAACCAAACTGTAAAGAAGTTGGTTCCATAGTTAAAGACAGTAGGAACAGCTGTCTCGAAGCATTAATAACGTCCATAATAGATATCATACATGTCATACAGTGTCAGAAACCACATAAGAAAATGTGTTTGACGGTACTTAACGTGAGGCAGTTTGAGGCATGTGGCTGAAGTTTGTACAGTGCTAAACTGGTGGCTATAAGCTTCCATTACGTGTAAGCTACCTTAGCCTTTCAGGTCCAGTGCAAAACCACAGAAGGAAACTTTGAAACTTTTGACTACATGTCTCGGCTGATTGACTGCATTTGGGGGAATGAGGAAACTGTGTATATTTAATTTTTGTTTTCAAACCGGCGTCAAGCAGCTGGCTTTCTATCCAGTCTTTTTATCTTAATGTGTTCTGCTCACTGGCATTACTGTTAAACTCAAGGCTTATGGCTTCGTTTGGTCAACATATTTCATATTAGTTAAAGATTGTCTCTCACTATAGGTTTCTTGTTGTGTTTTCAGATGAATACAGATTGAGTGATTATTCCATTGGCCCAGAAGCCAAGCTGAACCTGGTGGTACGTCCGGCGGGAGATAGAAGCAGTGGCGCAGCGGTCTGCAGTAGCAGTAGTGGTAGTAGTAGTAGTAGCAGCAGCGCCACCAACAGTGATGGAAGCAGTGGCAGTGGGGTATGGCAGTTACTGTCCACCGTTCTGGCCAAACACTTCAGTCCAGCAGATGCAGCCAGAGTGCAGGAACAGCTCATTAAGGTAACTTTCTGGAACTCGCTTTTGCCCAGTCTGTGCTTTTCTCACCCATTTGCACTTTTTAAAGGGGCAAATGTCATAGATAACCAAATTTCCCTTGCCTTTTTTTTTTGGTAATACTTTGATTCATTGCAATCAGAAGTGACCTCCACTGTGCACACAGCTACAGTTAGCTCTGTAATTATTGGCTCCCCAGGTAAAAATAGTTTTAAAAAATCTGGTCCTTAGATGAATAGTCCAGATATGAAACCCACACTGCAAAATAGCCTGTTTTTCCATTCATCGTGGTTGTGGTGTCAAAATCAGGAAGCCAGTCAGAACAGTGTTTATTTACATATATTTGTTTTTAGCCCTGTTGGGACTGGATTCGTTTTACACGAGGAGGTGGGGTTATGTCATTATTACTGGCATTTCTCAGTGATGTTAGACCCAACCACATGTGCCATGCCAGACATTTTTACCGACTGTGCACTTCCACTTCAGTAAAGATTCCAGAGCCTTTACCTTCCATAAAACAAGCAGTAGAAATAACCTCAAGTTATGTTGATCCAGTGTGAAACGCCTTGATAAAAATGCTATCGTATTCTGTAGAAAAAAAGTTTCTTAAGTATGGAGGCTCTTGAGCATTTCGCTGTTAACGGAAGAAAACCTTATATCTCCAAAATGATAACTTTACAGGAGAAGGAAAAAACCTACTTTACTTTGAATGTAAGTCAATGCTCCATTCATCAAGAAATTTACACACAATGTAAAGGGCAACAGGCATTTTCAAATTACGTCAAAAACTGAAAAATGACAAAAATGGAGATACGAGGTTTTCTTCCGACAGTAGCGATTTACTGGTGTTCTCTGTGGCTAAAATCAAGTCGATAGGTAACGTTACTTTCCTGTCTCACATGTACAACTCAATGTGTAAAAATTATAGAAAAAAATTTGATATTATGTGGCTTGATTTTATGCGGTGAAGTTGACCATTAGCTGGGAATTCCCAATGGCAATGCCAGTGATGGACTGCATTGACTTTAGACAGCAAAGTAAATAACTAGTGTAAACAAACATTTTCTGCTCCTTTTCTGGAGCAAAGTTGCCACATAAATCAAGTAACCACTCCTGTTTCTGTCATTTATACTGAGATTTCTAGTCAGTTATAAACATTACAGACATCCTGTGGTAAACTGGCATTGCCCACCTCCCCATGGAAAACGAACCCTGTGCTTTAAACACATAGCAACGAAAACAGCCTGTTTAATTTTAAGGGATAAAGAGAGGCTGGAAAATGTAAAATAGTCATACTTCATTTTTTGCCACCTAACACCTCACTAGGTTTATGAGTGGCCCCTTTAAGGAGCAGTGAACCTCTTATCAGGAAATACTTTGAGCCCGGATTAATTTGGGCCTTTGTGAGAAGTGACGAGTCATCAAATTCAGTTTATATCTCCATTGGTGAGTCACTGACATTATTTTGATTTATAATTTTTCCACTTTCTCCTTCTTCAGGATTACGAACGCTCCCTCAGACAGCTGAGTCTAGACGATATTGAACGCCTGGCTGGACGTCTGCTGCACCCCGAGACAGAGGGAATGGACACTTCATACATGGACTGAGACCAGCTAGATCTAAGAGCACACTTTAACAGCTGAGAGAAAGCCACAACACCAACCTGCTACTTGGTTTGAAGAGTGGAAACTGAGGGTGAATGTATGCGATAAGGACACTTAGGAAGAAGGGAGCCATAAGACCACCTCTGCGTATTTTAAAGCTGGCTACTGTGGGTACCATGCGTGCCAGTGGTTCAGCTCGATTTTAACAGAAGATTCCTAATTAGTCTATTGACAGCATTTCCTTCCTTTGTTTATGAGCAGTGTAATGAGAAGTAAGTATAATGAGCAGCACAAACCTGCCCCATTTTCACGCTCATCTTTTATTTGTCCTTCCAAGAGCCTTTTGCTCTGATTCATACAGAACTGTAGTACTTCCTTTTGGATTGCCAGCATTTTTCCACATAAAGGTGGCCACCAGCACTACAGACAGAGCTTTTGACATGCTACAGCTTCACATTAACCTGGTTTGAAATGGGAGCGAGGCTTTTCAAGATAAGCAGTCTCACTTCAGTTCATAGGCACCGGATCAAATGTTCTACAAAGCTGCAGAGATATTACAGTTAGCCTGTATGAAAATTTGTGTTCGGCCATATGAGGGCAACTGCTCTATTTGTAAATATTGTGTTTATATTATTAAAAGCTACAAAACAGATTCACTTGGCTGGCTTAATCAATTTCTTTCTCGAAAATCGGGCTCCAACTGTGAAAGGAACTATTAAAATATGAACACTGGTCATGAATGTATCCTTAGCTTTATTTGTCTATTTGGTTTGGAAGGTTACACTAACAAGTTACAATGGTGTAATTGGCCAAGGACACCTATTCAGTTTCTATTGGCAAAACTGTTTAAACCATTTGTTCCTCATCCTGGCATATAAAACTGAAGTTCTCTGGAATAAGGTCTGTGTGTATATATTAATACAAGTACAACATGTAAATGTACAAAAAAGGCAAAATCAAAACATGAAAACAAAGGCTATGAATGAGGACACTTGGATGTATCTAGAACTCTGTGCTTCTACGTTTACTGAACCCATTGAACCCTTTCTTGTATGACAATTGATCCAACATGAACTTGTTCCTTCGTAGCAAATCTTGATAGGTTTGACGAGCTTTACAGAAAGTTGGCAAAATCAATGTCAACCTAATGAGAAATCATAGAACTTGGGTGTTCGTTGAAATACCTTAATTATTCCTATCAGACCCTCCATATGCAGAGTAGCTACATAAAACTGGGTTTTAAACCAACCTATATATAGGAAAACCAAAACTTCAATCTACAGACACTCAGCTGCAAAAACAGCTCATACTTTTTGTGAAGTTATGAAAATGAAAAGCTAACCTATCCATCTTTTCAGCCTGCAGCAGTTTAGACCAGCCCAATTCAGACTGAAGTTATAAGGAGTGTTTCAGCCCATACTGTTTTTTTGTTTTTTTTTTGAGGCACAATACAGAACAGCCAACCAGAAAAGAGGTAATTTACATATCAGTTTAAAAAACACAGTAACAAAAGCTGCCTGTGTAAATGTACAGGATAGTAAGTAGGAAAACTGACTGTTGTTGAAGCATGTTAGATAACCAAAAAACGACTTATGACATAACCTGATAGAATGTCCTTTCGCTGAAATACACAATAAAGGTCATTTGAAATTTTAACATACTTAATTTTGAACTACAACTTCTCATTAGGTTGAATTGGATTTCTGCCACGCTTGTAAAGCTTGTCCAGCCTAACAGCAGTTGCTGGAAAAGAATGAATTTGTGAGCCAAGCAACTGTATGTTTGGCTTCCATGATCGTTTTCCTAAAACTGGGTATAGATGAGTTGATACTGACTAAAACAATGAATATGTAATTAACAGCTGATCCTAACAGGCTCAAGATGTGCCAAATAGTGTGCACTGTAACACACTGTGGTTGTGGCTACTATTTTGTTAGTCGACACCATTTACAGCAGACATTTTGAGACAATATTAAGCAAGTTCAAGCACTTGAATAAAATCATTAACAAAAAAGGTTTAGATTAAGACTGTATATATCCTCCATTGGATATGACAGATGATCGCTCATTCATATATTGATGACATGCAAATACAGATGGGTTTGACACCTTTATCAGTGGTGCAATTTATACAGTAGGGAATGCATGACCAGAATATAGAAATACATAAACACAGGGTGTTTGAATGGCCTTATAGAAAGCATGATGCAGAATGAAAGGCACAATGATTTGGCAGACAAGAAAGATCGTTTTGAAAGAAGAAAATTGCACAAAGAAAGTGGGCGCAGTGACAGTCTTTGACGCATAGTAGTGATACTGGGAGTTGTAGTTTTAAAAGTAATGCTATGCTGGAGGAAAGAAGTTGTTCTCTCCCGTTTCCTCGGACAGTTTTACTATGCCACGTGTTCCTTGGGGTGTGGAAAGAGAGGGACGCTGTCACGTGGCATTTCATACCCTGGAGGTCTTAAAGGAGAAGACGAACATGGCGGGCAAGGGGGGGGGGCTGGGGAGGTGGTTGGCGTCTTTGTAACGGTTCGGCCTCTACTGGATCACTGCCATCTCTCCCTCCTTTCGGCCCCTCGCCGTTTAGCTTTCTCTCCTTCAGCAGTTGCAACCATCGCTAGAGGAGGCAGGTCTATCATCTCTTAGTTTGATCTGGTCAGGGAAATCGTATGGCTCCACTTCAGACTCCTAGATATGAGAATACAATGAGGGTTGAACACTATTGATTAATTCCTGTGAAATCTGCAGATTACACAACATACATCATTAACACTGCATTTGAATCAAGGTGTTTTAAGTGTGGCATCTGCCATCAGTTTTTTTCCAGGTGTTCAGACATAATTATTGAATGGAGTGTTATGAGCTAATGCTAATGCTCATAAGCCTACGATGATCTGATACAGAGATACTAAGGCCTCTAAGCGCTGCGATAACCATAAATAAATCTGTTGATGCTGTAGTCGCAGAAAGCCACTACAATTAACAATGAGGGCGGAACAGAGATTCACAGCCTTTTCTTACCATGGTGAAATGTGAAATTTGACCAGGGTCTTTAAAAGATTTGCACAGAGCTCACTGAAAGAACAATGTAGTAACCAGTATAAATAAAATACTAATTTAACACAATGTTTTACTAACTCATTATGGGGAGCTGGTGTTCTTTTTCCATAGTACGACTAAGTACAGCAGCAGCAAGAAGGGAATGCACCCTCATGCACACAATGCAAAAATTAAATGCGTGAGGGTGCACACAATTTTCAACTTAAATCACAAACCCGCCTATTTGAATAGGAGGGAGGAACCGGAACCGAGGAACTGGAAATGAAATTATTTTTTTTTCCTTTTAAACCAACTGATTAATCATTTACATCTTTAGTTTGGGACACATTGAGAGCACCGCAACTAGCAGATTACTTGGCACTCTTTTCAAAATCAAATGTGCTGAAAAGGCCTGTACCTGTTTGAGTGCATTGCGAGCGATGGTCTGGAAAGCCTGGTCCACGTTGATAGCTTCTTTGGCACTGGTCTCAAAATAGGGAATATTGTTCTTGCTTTGACACCATGCCTGAGCTCGCTTTGTTGTAACCTGCTCAAAACAAAAAGGATCAACAAAAAGTTTGGCAGAATGATTTAAAAAATAAATAAATAAATTTCCCTGAAAACAGTCCCACAGTCTGGAGCGCAAAACCGACCTGTCTGTTCTCCAAGTCGATCTTGTTGCCGAGCACCACAAAGGGGAAGTTCTCAGGGTCGCGGGGGCTGGCCTGGATCAGGAACTCGTCCCTCCAGCTGTCCAGAGTCTTGAACGTGTTTGGGGCAGTGACGTCGTACACCAGCACGCAGCAGTCCGCTCCTCTGTAGAACGCCACGCCCAGAGACTGGAAACGCTCCTGCCCTGCTGTGTCCCAAATCTGTCAACAGAGAACCAGGTACAATTTCACTTGATTCTTCAGAAAAAGATTATACAAAAAACTATAGTAAGATGCTATTATTTTGCAATTTCATAGACTTGTAGGAAGCTGTAAAAAAAATAAATAATAATAAAAAAAAATAAACGCTCTCAAGAAGTTGTTTCTTCTTAAAACTTGCCTACATAGTTTTCAAGATTCAGACATTCACCAGTGTTTTCTTATTTGGGGTTTGTTCTTAGGTAAGAACAGAATCTACACACACTCAAGAGCACAAAGGTGTGAACAATTCTGCAGTTTAAGAACACGTCATGAATCTGACGCAGAGTTTTTCTTAGAGCCTTTATCAAGAACAAATTTAAAAAGAACTTGAGTGGTGAATGAGTCCCATAGTTACTATGGAAAAAACAACACTACAGGACAAAAACAACACTTGAGATGAACTGAGCGCTTCCCTTTAGAAACTCTACCCACCGATCGCACAAGTTGGTGAATCTTGCGGTTTGCAGGAAAACCCAAAATCAGCAATCTGTAGCACAACACGCGACTGGGAACTTATCAGGAAGTTGCTTGGCATGAATCTCCATGACATATCACATGAACATTAATGCCATCACAGCAGACCAGCCAGACAGGATCAACCATGACGCTGACGATGTTTGACTCTGCTTACTGAACACTAATGGGCCGTATGCAGGCAGTCACATTAGAGCAGTCGGTTGCTGCTGATTAGAGAGAGTAAGGTCCACTCACTCACTCACACAGTGCCTTTCAGTCGGGAGATGACTGCATCTCCAGTCCTCTTAAGATAAGACGTAATAAACCAATCAAGATTGCAAACAGCACTGTTCTTTATAAACAAGCACTCACAATATTGTTTGTCTTGCAACACCAAAGAATGAAGAACAGAAATGCCTCTTTGGGTGAATATTTGCAAACCAAACATGACTAAGGTTATTACATCATCCTTCCAACAAAGTGTCATCTCAGCCTTACTTAAAGGCCCTATACCAAGCTGACTTGGCTTCTGCACATAAAGTTGACTGAAAGATGCTTTACTGAAGGTGTATTTAAAAATGTATATATAAAATAAAAATAAATAAATATTTTTAATTCTCTATGTTCACTGTAGATATGAAAACTGTTCAACTATGTGATACTTATGCTGTAGCTTCTATCAGAAAAACTTGCACCTAGATAATAAACAAGCTACAACCATTTCAGTTGCAGCTAGTAACTCAATTTAGACGGCACAACACCACTTTTTTCTTTTCTAACACTGAAATCTTGAGTATTTGAGTATTCGATTTATATATTACTATATTTTATTCTTTAAAAACTACTTAAGCTTTAAAATTAGCTTTCGTAAAACTGCAAATTCATCGATAGCCAACTACTTCCGGTTTATAAGCTGATGTTACTCTACATATAGTCACTGCTATCACGTGACCTGTTTTACTTCACTTCACATTATAATGAGCAAGCACTTCTGTAATATTTCAGGTTAGATTTGTTATAGAATTGGATCAGAATCTGTTTATTTCCCCTCTTCAATATCCAACCCAACATTTTCTGCTGGTAGTGACACCAGGGATAAGACCTGTACCAAATCTGTTTGAGTGAAAAGGATTGCAAATGTGTGGACTACTACAGGCAACGTTACAGTACCGTCATGTTCACACACTTTCCTATTTTGGCCCTTTGACCAATCCCTACGTCCAGCCTGAAGCACAGCTAGCTGCCATGCTGTTGCTAGGACTTTGCAGCTGTAGCTCTCATTCAAATTCAGCTTTGAAATGGCAAGAAGTTGATAAAACCAAAATTGTTTCCAGTTACTGCCATGGTGATTTGTTTATCACTGAAGTACACCGAGTCTAACGTAAGTGAAACACAGCGCTGAGGCGGCAATACCAGTAATCAGTAACGTTAGCGCCGGAGGACACCTTCAGCAGACTATGCTGGACAGTGCTGGTGGAATAAATCAATGAGCAGCAAACTAACAAAAGCGACAGCAAAGTGGAAAGCCACAGCTTCTCTCGAAACAAGATGTAATATAGCATTATGAGAGCGAGAGGTATACAACCGAGAAGCAGTCGGAACCATTCAGTGTATACAAGATATATACAATATACACACACTCATTGGTTGAACATGCAGTCACTGTTACTCTCACTGGACGTCGCTAATGAAAACTGGTAACTGCACTCTATTTAAATCACATGGGCTTCACTTTCAGGTTCTGCATTCACGTGATGAAAACGTTCATGAATTATTAACAGTTATAAATAAATTCTGATTAAGCCTATTATTCCCACTCACATAGCTATAAAAAAAAATGTGCCACTTTTAAAATGAATTAGAAAGGAAAAAAAATCAGGGTCAGATTTGAGCAAATAAGACAAATATGATTTATCACAATTAAGTTCACAAAAGTAATATGATTAATTGTGATTACACTTTATACACACACAATGTAGAAAAAAATGATTTTTTTTATCGTGTAGTCAAGCTTATTCAAGTGAGAAGATTTCAGAAAATCAATATTCTACATTATCATTTAAGGATTTTGTGACTTTAGTTAGTCATTTGTAAAGAGATAAAGACGAACCTGCATGGTGACAAGCCTGTCGTCAACCATAACCTCTTTGGTCAAGAAGTCCGCTCCAATTGTGGCCTTATACTGGTTGCTGAACTTATTATTAACATACTGGTTCATTAAAGAGGTCTTTCCCACCCTGCAACAAGAAAAATGTGCCATCAAAATTGCAGCAGGACATTAGCAACAGTACACAGTTCACATAACCTATCCCTGCATGTCTCTATCCTATATCAAACAGACTGTTTTTCAAAAGAAGCCCAGCTACTTAAAAAAAATAAAATAAAAAACAAAAACAGTGCTCTCATTATACACCACAAGCATTAGAATTAGCCTAAGCATTAAAATTGCTAATAAGTATAGATCACTACTGAATAAACAGTGATGACTGAGCAATTAGCTTAGCAGAAGTACTGCACATCAATACAAGCAGGGAGGGGGAAAAAATCTGAATGTAGTCCAATCTGGTCCACAGATGTTTCTCTGTCTTACTTTACCAGACCATGGTGTCACATGGCATTTCAGAGGATATAACTTGGCTCAGTTAACAGAACCCCCCCCCAAAGAGAATGTGATTTAGGCCTGGGCCGTGCTCAACCTGTGTGCTAAAACTCTCCCAAAGTAATAGATAAGCAACTTAATGTAATTTCCACCAGTCCCATTATGACAACTTTCAAACTTTCACTGCCGGTCACTGAGGCCAATGCAGGAGATGTATCATTGTGTAATATCATTCCTACCTCGTGGCATTGACTAGACTGATGATTTCAACCACACCTAAACCCCACACATGGAAGAATAAGACATGGGAAACAAGGGGAACTCCTCAAGGCCTACTGCAAAATCCCCAGCAGCTGGCTAGACTAGTATTCTGGCCAGATCAAAGTGTACACCTGAGACTGCTGTCAAAGAGCAAAGTAAAAATGAAAGTAAAATAGTCCAAAACCTGGCGCCAAGTCCTTTCCCGACCTTAAAATGAGGCCTTTCTACCGACTTTGGCTCAAGCCACAAAGTCCGTTTCCTCCTGAAAGTGGAAGTGGTCAGTCAGAAAGGGAGAAAAAACACGGCAGGAATGATTGACCCTTACCCAGAGTCCCCGAGGATGATCACTTTAAGCAGCACCTTTTTGCGAGAGGCCATGATGTCCAGAGAAGATCTGCGGAGGAGACGATGTTCATTACATAAACAGCACTGACAGGGTTTCAAAGACAGAGAGGATGCGTTTCAAAATCATAAAAAGCTGGATAACTATCCAAAAGTGAAGACCAACAAGAATCTCTTTTATCTCTCGTCTTATTGACAGTCTTCCGCCTGTTTGTCAAAGGTTCTGCATAATTCTATCATTAAGATATACACAAAGTCATTCAGCGTGGTTTGATGATGTTAAATCCTCTAGTGTAGAAAAACTTACCCAGTCAGAACTGTTCACAACAGTGGTGATAGGAACCAGACATGCAAATGTTTAATCCCTCTAACGTTCAAGCTACTGAAAGCTACATAAATGGTTATGAACACACTGCCTGTTGCCTGAGACATTGTTTTGTAATATTTTTATAGTAGTGTCTTTGACCTAAAATGTCTCTTTTAAATCCATTCATGTCAGAGCGGTACATACAGGGCAAAATAGTCCCCAAAGAAAGTTATACCACTATTTCCATTAACATTAGGTTACATATAAAAACTTAAGACATCACGACCCCTGGTTCGCATCACCACCACTGTAAAGAAATCCAAGTAACTCTGTATCTCCTGAATGGAGTATTTCACATCAAACCCCTCTGACTTACTTTGTTGACATCTCAACGACTGAACTAAGTAGAAGTTTTGAAAAATATGTGGAATTTCTCTTTAATTTATCTGGCTAACAGAGAAATCGTGCTGCTAGCCTATTTGTTAGACGGATTTACACAGAATTGTCCACTGTTAAACGACTTTTAGTCACTTTTTAACAATTTTGGGACGGTTTGTAAAAGAGTAACGTTACTCCACGATTTAGTATTAGGGCAGTTCAAAATGTACAACCATGAAAAACAACGTTAGGTTAGCTAGTTAGCTTCTGAGGCGATTTCCAAAAAAAACACATCTCCAAGTCATGTGACGTCACCACATTTAATAACATCAATTCTAAGCTGATAAACGCTTTAAACGGATAACTATGAAACGGATATCTATGATTATTGCGAAATACGCCTGACAAGGGACTGGTGTTACAAGTAAAGGCCTTTTTTGTTTCGATAAGTTGTTCGTCCCGGTCGACAAGGACAGCTCAAGTCAGCTTCTCGTTCGAATTTTCCCGTTCCACCTTAAACAGTGCAGCACTTACACTGTAACTGCTGCACCATTTAAGGTGGAACGGGAACATTCAAACACGAAGCTGGCGAATAGGAAGCCGACTTCAGCCTCCCTTTAATAACGTCCAGCGAACGGCCTGTTTAGGTTAAACACCGTCCCAGAAAAGAAGGAATCGATGCTAAAAAGGCTTGTAGCGTTACAGATTTGGATTTAGAGATGAATTCGATGCACCAGCCGCCTGACAGCTTTTCCCCCCTCTGAGAAAAACAAAACTGGGCTAACGTTGAAACAGAGCCTCACCTTCCGCCTCTTCACTTCCAACACAGCAAAGACAGCGCTGTAGACCGTCTTCAGGGGCTTTTTATAGCCTTTCAAGCAGTGAAATATCCCTCCGAAAGTGGTCAACAAATTTATATCCAGCCTTATCGATTACAGAAAGGTTCATCTGCTGTGGTGACCGTATCCCTTTCCTTTCCTTTCCTAGCTGAACATGGCTGCATTGGTCACAAGGGCCTGACGCACCACTGAACTGTCTCAGCCGCTGGAAGAGCCCTCCCTCTTTTTAATGGCTCCAATATGGCGGGAGGGCCTCATTTTCCCCTCAACATCCCTTTATACAGTTCCGTTTCACTACTGTTTTAAAGGAGAACGCCAGCAGTTGTTCAAAATTTCTGAATAATGCAGTCCTTAAGATGTCAAGAGTCTTTCTGAGAGGTTGGATAAGAAGTGGTTCACTGTATGGATAATTATTGACTCTTTACAGTGGTAGTGATAGGAAGCAGGGGTCACCATGTCTACAACACAAATATAGCCATTTTGTATACTATCTAAAACCACCACCAGTGAATCTACACTGATCTTTCATATGCAATGTTGAGAACAGTAAAATAGCAGTTTAAAAAAATAAGTTTTCTTTGGGAACTATTTGGCCTTGCATGTATCCCTCCGCCATGAATGGATTAAAATACACTTTAAGCCAAAACCTTATCACCAAACTGTCATAAAACAATGTGCCAGACATCTTAAAACTAATCATTTCATGTAATAACTTTTTATGAGGTAGCTTTAAGAAGAGGTGGTTGTCTGGCTCCTATCACTACACTGTGAATGACTTTGTTTACGTCCCAACCACTTAATTATGTGCAATTTTTGCAAAATAACTGGAATTCCTCTTTAACTGTATTTAAAGCAATGATTCACTGAAAAACCTACCATGTTTCCCCCCTGCCTCTAAATATAGTCTATTAGCTTAGACCTTTAATTATACAACATAATTATAGAGTCAACGTATACAGAATTTATTACCTCATGATCATAATGTTTGATGGAACAAAACTCAAACAGTTCCCTTTTACTTATTTGGCATTCACTGAATTTGTTTTTATGGGGGAGGGGGTTGGGGGATGTATTTCTCTCTTTGAAATGTCTGCTTTACATGAATCAGTTTAATAAACAACTTAGTAAATCTATTTAATTTTGACATATTTTCATTTTGTAAGTCAAACAACCCTGTTTTTTTTTTTATTGTTTTATGAGTACAGAAATCTATGTTAACAATTAGCTCATAGCTCCGAAGCAAAGTTCAGACATTTCAGACTTCAAACGGCAATATTTCATGTCAAATTACTATGGCAAATTATTAGTATTGTAAATGAATGGAATCTCTTAAACTTTTGTGCTTTTTCAAAGGAGAAATTGCTTATTCATTTTATTAAGACACGTTATTGGTTGCAGTATTTTATATTCTGTAATTTTAAAAGTATGTTGGAGTGCACCTTCTGTCACCATATATGTCCTTCTGATTTGACTGATTTCACTCAGTTAAACATATTAAATGTCTGTTTATTGTAGCCTAAATGTGCTGTAAGAGATATGTCTGATTACAGGATCTTTTAGTAAGAAACCACGTTGCCCTTTGCCTAAAATTCACTGTTATGAGGCTTTTACTAAATGGAGCCACCAAACCCAAACTCTTAATCACAGATAACTGTGGTCATTTCAGCATCATTCAGGCCCACCATGTCAAAATGATGAACGATGGTACTACATACCAGATAAGCTGACAGAATACATATAAGAAGCTTCTTCTAATCCAATCCAACACTTCAAACATTTTACAATCAGACTCTTTAATCAGAGTGATATCTGTTCTGTTGATAAAGCATATCAATAGCATTGATATGTTTCAGGTGAATCAAGATATCATGCCGAGATCAGCTTAAAGAGCTTAGACATAGCAGCAAGTAGCAGTATAGATATCAGATACAAATCTAAGTATTTACTTTTTTGCTGTCTGTCTACATTTCTATCCACCTTCGTCCGGTTTTCATGAGGTCTATCCCACACATCTGTCATATACATGGAGCCTAAGGGCTAACCAGCCAGGGGAATAAATAAATAAATAAGAGTATTTTATTATTTTAGACATTTTACGTACACACATTGGAATACCTAAACTGATGTGGATGTTCATCATTTTTTCCCATTACTCATTAAGAGAGAATGAGAGAGAGAGAGAGAGAGGCTTAAAGAACAAGCACAGTCTTGTGGTTCTGCCCCTCTCAACCTCATGCAGTTGCGATGCATTAATCATTGTACAGCCACACCCTTCTTCATTGGTCTTGCTGGGTCCTGTTCCACATGTTTACAGCCTCTGACAAACTACACAATATAGACAATGTAGTCTGTAATATATACCAATCACTGAGTTGTGCTGGTATGAGTGGATCAGACACAGCAGCGCACTCATACCAGCACAACACACACTACCACACCCCCACCACATCAGCGTCACTGCAGTGCTGAGAATGATCCGCCACCCAAATAATACCTGCTCTGCGGTGGTCCCGTGGGGGGTCCGGACTACTAAAGAACAGGGTGAAAGAGGGCCAACAAAGTATGCAGAGAAACAGATGGACTACAGTCTGTAATTATAGAACTACAAAGTGCACCTATATAGTAAGTGGAGCTGATAAAATGGACAATAAGTACAGAAACAAGGATTTTAATGTTATGGCTAATCAGTGTTTATTCCCCCCTTCTCTGTATATTTGAAAATATGGCATCTATATGGAAAATACTGAATACAAAACTGCTATGAATAATAATTAAATACAGATACAGAGGAATTCTCATATGGCTATTTAATTTTAAGTGGTAAAGGTCTAAACATGATTGTGGTAAGGGTCCTGATGCTGGGGAGGGGTGGGGCGTGGCGGCGATGACAAAACTGTGACTGGCAGCATCATCGTCCAATGAGCGAATAGTAGAACAGAACGTCACCAGGGCATTAGCCAATCACGTCGTCTGAAGCGGAGGAGAAACACGCCTAATGTTCTTTGACAGCCGCTGAGGGAAGGGCGCAGGGAAGATGAACCCGCTCAAAATGTCTTGAGAGCAGCTGTTTATTCCTTTTATCCCTCTGTTTACAATGTCGTCAGCAAGACCGTGAAGATTTGGTTCAAAGAAAGAAAGAAAAGCAGCGCGTCGCGTTCCGGTAAGGAGACTCAGTCAGCTAAAGTAGCTGTTATCTTGCTAGCTAATCAATTAGCTAGCTTAGCTAGCCAGCTAGCTAACGATATCTTGCCTGTTCTTCCTTCTTCAATTCAGCTAACAAGAGAGATAGATATCTCCCTATTCTGTGTCACATATCTGTACCATTCACTTACATTGTAGACATTATAGGGCAGGTAAGCTTTCTGGCTGTCTGTGAGGAAACGCTATTTGCAAGGCAGCATGTTTGTTTCTAGGTCCATGTAAGTTGGCCGTCTTTGGCTCGGGCTGTCAGTGTCTTGTGTTATGATTGTTTTCCACTGAGATTAATCGCGGTTTATTACAGACAGATAAGCTTGAAACCCCACTCACTGCAAAGGAGTGATAATTCAGTCAGATTAAAAAAAAGCATCTACCTGAAGAGAAGGAGGAAAAAGTGAGTGTCCAAAAGCTCCTCAAGTAGTGAACTGCAGTAGAACTTGACAGCAACTGTCAAAATGAACCAACAAGGTAGTTTGACTCGCAGAATAAAAATATGTTGACATTAAATAAGTGAATTCTATGGAGCCCGGCTGGTGGCAACCTGTATTAATAAAAATAATGCGTGGCCACGACTTAGTAAAGCGTGGGAGCAAGATCCTAATGCGTGGCCACGACTTAGTAGGCGTGGGAACGAGATCACGGCTTGCTAAGTCGTGGCCACGCATTAGGATCTCATTCCCATGCTATACGAAGTCGTGGCCGCAAATTATTTTTATTCATACAGGATGTCACCAGCGGGGCTCCGTAGGATTTTGTTGGCTTTAAGTAAAATGGGAAGCACGGCAATGAACGATAGCACATTTCAATGAATGAAAGCTGTTTACGTTGATCCAAAGAGAATTCCATTCCAGTTACACCCACATTAATTGCACTGAAATATTTCAGTTTTGTTCCCTCAACAACTGAGGTGACAATGTGTACTGACACTATTCCTTTTGATTGACTTTTTTTCGAGTGGGAACTGGACGCTCTTTGTTTTTCTGGCATCCTATTGGTCTGAAATCAAATGCTGAAGCTCAAAAGTGAGAGGTGTGAGCAACAGCACCACCAAAACAGAGTCAAATGAGGCAAATGTTAATGATAAAAATGGAAATAAACAAAGGTTTTCCTCAGATGTTGTTAAGTAGAAGTAAAAGTGTTGTCATTTTAAACTATTACTAGCAATTGTAACTAGTTACTCCTCCATCTGATTAGGGACCTGTTTGACAACCATGAAAATGGACATTTCTGAAATGTTATTTGTACATGGCTGACAAGAGCACAGTCAGATAAAGGGAACAGCACAGTGCCCAACCCATCACTGACTTCTTTAACCATCGAGGGAAGTGATTCCCCTCCACAGATTTTGTAGGGGAGCCTCTAATTGAAAGAACATTTGTTCCATTAAAGATGGCAAGATTGTGGTTGAGTCACATTGAGGCCCTTTGCTGACTTCCTATTATATAACTGAAACCCTTAGGCTTTGTATGTTTACTATTACACAACTGAGAGTAATAGCGAACGAAATATGATTCTAAAAGTACTTATTTTTGTCCCCCCTTTTTGATCTGTTGTGATCAGTGTTTGCGCATTGCATGTAAGCTCCTTTGTCCAAATCGTGAAAACAATCTGTGGAATTACATTCTCATTTTCTCTCTCTTTCTCTCTCTCTCTCTCTTACTCACTCGGCTCAGAGATGGAGACTCTTATACCCATCATTAACCGCCTGCAGGAGGTTTTCCTCACTGTTGGAGCCGAGATCATTCAGCTTCCACAGATTATGGTGGTTGGATCACAGGTCAGTGAAGTGTCCCGGTCAGGATTTGCAGAGCAGTATCTCTCTATCCACAGAGCTCTTGTTTGTCCATGTCACTGCAGTGAGTAGTTGCAGTCCGTGTATCACATACAGCTTGGAAGATGGCGTAGGAAATATTCCAGGAGACTTTGGGATATTACATTGCAGATGGCCAGGAAGTCTTGACCGGCTTAGTTCTAATTCCTTTTAAGGCTGAACAGTGTGCGGAAAAAAGTCACATTTCGATATTTTGTGTTTGTGATAAACATTGTGATATTTGGAAAAAACACCAAAAAAGTCATGCGTTTGCCCAGATAAACGATTTCCGAATGGACCTAATTATCACTGTAATGGAAAATGGTAATGGAAGGCGTGCTTTTAGAGAGGAAATGAAGGCAGTTGTTCAGTATTCTGACACAATATGAACTAAATACCTTGTTCCGGTTATGTTGCTAAACATTGCGATTGCAGTATCTTCCAATATAATGTGAACCTGTGATGTGACATGGTCAAGGACTAGCCTGTGTTATTTTTGGCCTATATTAGTTATGTTTGTTGGGTCGTGTGAATGTCTTGGTTCATTCACATGATTCATTGCACCAATAACATCTGTGATTGGTCAGGAATCTCACAACACACAATGAAACAGTGGGTGTTTGAATAGAGACTTATTGGCATTTAGCACATTTTTGCTAAATCCGTACTGGGAAGGCTGAAGTTGCCATAATGATCAAGTAATAATATAATTGTGGCAGCCCTGCTTCCTTAGAGCAAAATAGAAAAAAGATTTTCTTGTTTACATTTTTACATGTGTTCAGGGGTAAGAGATATGCTAATAGCTTTTTACCAGGTATATAAATTGTTTTAAGCTGAGCTTTAGGCACTGCAATATTGGTAATCATTTGTTAGATTGTTTCAAATCAAACTAAATCATACTTTAAAACAAAAGAGCTATTTATATAGGTTAATTATAAATATATAGCCTGTTTCTGGTATATGGAGTGTCTCACATAGTGTGTTTGTGATTGAATCTACAGAGCAGTGGAAAGAGTTCAGTGCTGGAGAGCTTGGTTGGACGTGACTTTCTGCCCCGTGGCTCTGGAATAGTCACACGTCGCCCTCTAGTGTTGCAGCTGGTGAATGTGCCTCCACTGGAGGAGCGTCGGAAACAAGAGCATGGTAACTACCAGCAACATGGATATTTATAGAACACTCAGTGTTTTTCTTTTGTTTTTACTTCTCTATAGTCTGTCAGTCTGTATGAGAGCATGTAGTTCTAACATCTCTGTGTCGTTTATGTCACTTTCTTTGCTGTTATTGAGCAAACATGCGAAATCGTTCAGAATTTTGAACCCAGTCACCAATTAGAATTCTATATTAATGTTATTAAAAGCCATTATGTTGGTTGGCTGGCCGTAGCCAATTGTTATCATACTGTTTTACTTAGCAGAACAATTACTTATTATGGTGGTTATTAATAATAAATGAAAGCAGTGTTTCCCCACAGGTCTGAAAGAAACTGGGAAACATCAGGGGGTTGGGGCAGGGGTAGAGGGAGTGACTGTGGGGTTGATATTCTAATGTGTAATATTTTCAAACTATATAAATTTTAGAAATTGTAGAAATCGGACGGAATATACTTTGGTGGCTATCATTATACTTAAATGGGCCATCAAAGTACATGGCCTATGTATGAAAAGGTATCATACTGTATTTTCACTTCAATTTATAAAAGCAAGAAGTGATTATATAAGCCATTAGAGTGATTTTATGCTCTCTTTGTCCATGTGATGCATTGGTCTCTTGTAGTTCATAGCAGTTAATAATCAGTACCTGTCATCTACGACATCTTGACCCTACTCTAATTCTGTATATGACTAATGTAGGTCTTGTAGAATATGGTTTGTTCTTTCTCTTCTCCTAACATTCTCTAGATTCATCTAGATTGCCCATTTCTGTCTTTTTCTGTCACTGTTTCACAGGAAATGGAACCAAAGCAAACTCTCAGTGCAGCTATCCAGGTCTCTGTGTGTAAAGAACAAACAAGCTCTATAATCTGCATGAACTTGTCCCATCTCATTCTGTGTGGCCTTCCCATAATTTCTTTTCTTATTTGTTTTATGTTTTCACCATTTATTGTGGATTGTCTTCACATCTGTGTTTACGTTAACTAACTAAAACCCTTTTTATTTGGTGTTTTAGCACATCTTTTATTGCTTCACATCACTATATGCGTTTTCGCGATTTTATCAGTTTAGCCTACCAATGACATTTTATGTTTTGCAATAATTTTTACATGTGTGGTTCCACTCAAACCCTGCTAGAAAGCCCTTATTCACAAGAAAGTGAATAAGTGTCCTTCAAGTTGTAGCTAAGTACCAAGAGGTCATGCTTCTTAACTCCTTTTTAATTTTTCTCCAAGGAATCAAAGCAGAAGAATGGGGAACCTTCCTTCACTGCAAAAACCAGGTATTTTAACATGCTGTCTTTTTCACCAGAAGTATTTTCCAGACTCTCAACCTGGATGTGCTATCGCTGTTGTCTTGAAATTTATTTCTTGTTTTGTTTGTGCTGGGGAACAGCGTTGCTGTGGAGGTCAGCTGGTATAAGTATATCCATCAATAAGTACGTGGAGAAGGGTTATTTTGCTGTTGACAGATTTTGTTATTTTCTTGACAGATTTTCACAGATTTCTCTGAAATTCGAAAGGAAATCGAAGAGGAGACTGAACGCACCACTAACAACAAGGTACAGAGGCCAGATGGCCACACACACACACACACATACACACAGGTTGGGATCATTTTCAAGGCCTACTGTCACTTCTATTTATTAGCTCCTTCCTCGCAATCAATTCTCGTTTGTTTTAATGTCCTCTGCTATTGTGTGTAGGGTATCAGTCCGGAGCCCATCCACCTGAAGATTTACTCCCCTAACGTTCTAAACCTCACCTTGGTCGACTTGCCTGGAATCACCAAGGTAACCTCAGAGGAAAAGAACTTTTGTTTTGATACTTTTATGATCAGGATTATATTGCATGTTATGATTGTCATATGCCTTGCAATATATAAGAAATGCACTGATTAACCGGTTATGTTACCAGTGTTTGGGTCGTCACTCAGAGTGGCCCATTACGAATTGCTAATTACTTCTCTCAGACTTCAATGGGATTACTTTACTGATTACTTTGCGGGAAAAGTAATCTCATTACTCATTGCCTCACTTCTAAATTACTCTCTAAAACTCACACAAATATGTATCACCTGGAAAGTACAAGAGAAACCCAACAGTTGTTTTAGTAGTTTATTTAGAAAGGTATAGGCAATCAGAATAAACATCAGTCGTTTAAAATTCACTATGCCTGTGTTTGCTCTGAACACACAGCCAGTTATTCTTGATGAAGACTATGAGCAGATGATTCTGTTTGAGCCAGTAGGAACATTTGAAAAACAGCTGCCTCCTATTAAAATCTTTACCAGTAAAATATTAAGCTTGCAATTTAAGTGAGGTTTGGTCTCTCTTTTCTTCAGTACAGGGACCTTTATTCATCAGTTTTATATTAGCAGGATTATGTGTTTCGACAGTTTGCTTGTTGAGTGTAATGTTTTTGCCATCGCATGTTCTCTGTGTCGCTCATATTCACACAGTAGCCCAGTTAGCTGACGCATGTAGTGCATGCATATGCAAATTATATACAAAGAGAGATAATAGAGAGATAATAAATAGAGACAAATTCTATGGTTTTAATGAAGTTAATGTTGTTCTCCTATAGAAATATATGAGTAACCCAAAGTTCATATTAAAGTATTTCTCTACAATTCTGGTGTAACTCCACCATGAATGGATTTGAAAAAACACATTTTAGACCAAAACCTTATCTCAACACTAACGTCTTAGGCATCAGGCTATTTATTAAAGACCTTTTTGTATAATAGCCTCCTGTGGGGGGGGGGTCTGGCGTCTGGTTCCTATCACCACCACTGTGAACAATATTGACTCTGTAAGTTTCTCTAGAAGAGAGCATTTCACAATGAATTTGTTTACATCGTAACCATTTAATTATGCTGAAATTTAGAAAAATATGGTGCCATGTGATTACAAGAATAAGCTAGGGGGATGGGGGTGTGTAAGAAGTAAATGTCTTTTAAAAAACATTTAAAAAGAGTCAAACACAATACATTACTCCACTCTACAGGTTCCAGTTGGTGACCAGCCGGAGGACATCGAGACTCAGGTTCAGGAGATGATTCTGTCCTTCATCTCCAACCCCAACTCCCTCATCCTGTGCGTGTCCCCGGCTAACTCGGACCTGGCCACGTCAGACGCTCTCAAACTGGCCCGTGAAGTGGACCCAGATGGTGAGGATCAATTTAGGCACAGCTCCTGTCTCCCTCTGCGGGGGCAGATGGCAGAAGCCTCAGGATCTATTATTCTGTCTGTGTTGAGTTTTTTGATGTAGACTTTGCTCTTCTGTTACACACACTGCCTGTACAGCTTCATGTTTCCCTCTCTGCAGTCTGGGCCTGAGCAGAGAGGTTTCTCTGGAGTTTTTCAGTTGGACAGACTGGCCCCCAGCCAGTCATCTGGCTATGCTGAAATAATTTTCCACAAACATGATATGTTTCAATTCTGCACTGCCTCTCTACCAAGAGTATAAATCTCATGATACGATTTTATAATGATTTTCTAGGTAAAACCCTCAAACTTGATGGTGTGAGGCAGAATTCTAAGTCCTTTTTTTTCGTCCAGTGACTCAATACTTATAGATGCTTCTTGGCTTTTACATTTTCCAGCAACATGTACTGGGTTATTTTCACATTCTGCTCTGGAGACATAATATGAAGAAGGAATTTTTTTTTCCAAATGACCCAAAACACCCTGGCTTTGTAGTTACAACTGGAAGAACTAGTTTCGCAGAAGTGGAACAAAAACAATAGAAACTATATATTCCTTTAGTACCTCAAAGTAATAGATTAAACCTTAAAGTAATCTGTGTTGAATAATAAGTCGTTACATATTTTCTATGCATTATTGTTATGCACAGAAGACTACTAAAAATGGCATAAGAGCATCACTGATATTTAAGAATACTAAGTTTCATGAATATGCATGAGTATGCAAATTACAGACACCTCCTTGCCTCACAGTTTCCAAACCCCGCCCTTCCACCACTACTCTGCAGGCTGTGCTTTAGCCTTTGGTGAATGGGGAATACAGACTGAGCAGAAACAAAGAAGCCCCAACCTAGCATTCATAATAAGAAAATAAATTAGAGAAATCATCAGTCATCTTTGAATCAAATAATAATAAATCAAATAATAATAAATGTCAAACCATAAATTGAACTCAGAACAGAATAGCTTCGCTCCCTCAGATTTGAGTCTTGATCCTCTCAACTTGCTTCTAATGCAGCATTCGTGAGCTCTGCTGTGGTGTGTGAAGCTGTAGCAATACTAACCTACCGCTCACTGTTACTAGGACAGTTCTGTACACCTATGTTTGACAGATGTTCATTAGATAGATGCGGAATTTATATTTCAGGTAATTTTAAATGCCAAGATCATGCATCTGTTTTAGCCAGCTGCACAGTACAAACATCTCAAAGGTTACGTTAGCTATGTTAGCGCAGGCCTGTTCTGTAGCTAGAAGTTTCCTACCACCATGCTGTAACTTTCTCATTAGCGTATTTTAGTGTATTGGACTGTGGTGGATTCAAGCTCATTCATGACATACAAAACTAAGCTGCTCTATAGCGCCCCACAAATCACTGTACTGAGAATGTCTGTGTTTTTAAAGGAAAAATAGGAATTCTGTGCTATGATAACACATTTGACACAATTATCAGTCTATATACTCATAAAAAGCCATTCAAGAGAAGTGAACCTTTAAAAAACAATGGGCACATACTTGATTGAATATTATTCTAATCTAATATTTCAGAATCAATCAGATCGATGCACTGCAGTGCACTTATGCATTTTCACACCTGTACTCTGAACACGCCCTGCTCTCTGATTGTATATGAGACTCTACATTTGTTTGTGTGGCCAGGTCGGCGGACTCTGTTGGTTGTGAGTAAGCTAGATCTGATGGATGCTGGAACCGACGCACTGGAGGTTCTACTGGGCCGTGTCATTCCGGTCAGACTGGGCATCATTGGAGTGGTCAACAGGTGAGAGTCCATTAACAATACACAGAAAATATATTCAACATTATTTTAGCTTTGAAAATGGCCTGTGTAGGAATTTAGGTAGATGAAGCTCTTGGGAGATAATGAGGCCAGAGAGAGATTTAATGATCGTAAAGGGCCCACATTATGGTTGAGGTTTTAAGCAGTGTTTCAGCTCTGAGTGCTTTTGAATGAGGCACATTTTGAATGTGTTGTGTGTCATCCAAAAAGGTATAGCTATGCAGCCAATCAGAACAGAGCTCATTTATAGAATAATAATATCGGTCTTCATGACACAGTACCAAAAAGTCTGTTCAATTCAAAGGGATAAAGTAAGATTGGCAAATGGTCATTTTAAATGTAGTTATGTTATAACTGAAGTTTGGGGGGAGGAACATGCCTGAAACCCCTCCTTCTTCCAATCTCACAACCTCACCTTCTGTTCTGGTGATGAAGGATTTACAATCCTCACCGCCACCCCATCTACTCCCTGTTCCTCAGTCCTACATCAGTCGTGCTACAGCTATGAGGGGGGTTTGGCCTTTTAGCTACAGCCAGAAACTGCGCAGAACTCCTGCCACCCCCCCTTTGGTCAATCACTCTTCCCTCATATTACCACCACCATGTTGAAGGCATTGAAGGCACTCACAAAAAAACTAATGTAAACTAATGTTATAAGTAGACCTTGAGAAAAGTACAAGAAAATACAAGAAAAATGTAGGATATGGGCCCTTTAAGTAAACGCTAAATCTGGTGTGGGGAAAGTACTGCTGCTCTAAGCCTTTTCAGGGTGTAGTTGCATTGCATTGTTTTTATACATGCATAATAAATAAGTAAGTAAGTAGTCTTTAATTTTAAAGCGTGAAAAAAAGTTGAAAACTTATTATTAATAATTATTAATTATTTCCTTGCTATCACTTTTCTTTTTCCCTGCCTGCTATCATTTACAGTGAATATTTTATAGAATTTCCAAATGTGCCATCCTTTTGTAAGTATGCCTGTATTCCCTAGTTATAGCTGTGTGGTGTGTCATTAGAGGAAAATCAATTTTTGATTTGTAGCTGTGAAGTATCAGCATGCATCTGTAAAATGAAGCGCTTAATCAATATTCTGAATGATTAAAGCCATTTATGAGTTTCGAAAGTGTCTAGGAGGGCCTTTGTCAACATTAGTGTCTTTGTCCGCAGATTTTTTCCCCGTTTCCTTATTCAAACTGTGCGCTCCTGCTGAAACGTATTTTTCCAGCTGTCCTTCTCGCTCTAGTTTCAAGCTCATGACCCACAGGGCAAAATGTCTACCACAGATATCCACCAGTTGAGTGGTGCGTTTGAGATAAGCAGCGGGTGCTTTTTTCCGCTGCGGCTTTTACACAACCCCTCTAGGGTCCTAAAGGAGAACAGGCTCAATTTAGCAGCACAGAAAACAGCCCTGCCTCCAATGACACTTCACACTGCTAACTTAATCGCAGTTAGCCACAGGCAAGCCCCTCTTGCTCTCAGCTGCTGCTTGATTCTCTGTCCTTTCCAAGATTTGAAAGTGAATGCTTTGCAGCCTTTGCGCTCAGAGGTTTGCTTTTTAATGAGAGGACCATTGTGGCACTCGAGCCTTCAAGCCACTTGAGAAGTCTCTTTTTTTTTTTTTTCCACAAGTAACACATGATACCAATACAAGCTTTTTGGCTTTTGCAGTTTCCAGTAGAATGCACTGGGGTGTTTTTCACATCCTGCTTTTCAGGCCTAAGTTGAAGCAGAGATTTTTCTATCAAATGACCTGAAAAGCCCTGGTTTGTGAGCCTAATAGTTTCTCTTTTTCAGCAGTGGGCAGTACTCTAAGTATCTTTTTTAGTCCTTTTAGGAAGCTACTCTAGTTTTATTGATTTAGAAATGCTTTTCTCTTTTGCCACTCTTTGAAATAGACAGTAAATAGCTAGGTACAGTTGTGCTCTTTTTTTCTGGAAAGAAGATGTGAACTGCTGTACAAAGGCAAAATGTAGCAACTGCACTTTTGGTCGACATTGATTTATCACAGAAATCATATGTCTGAGGATCAGCTTTGAACTTGTGATGAAACTCCTGGGTTCGATTATACTCTCTTTTTCGGGTGGTAGGAGAAATGTGAAATGTGAAAATTACTGTGAAGTCATAATCCATTATATCTGCATTTTAGAGGGGTGGACAGATCAGTGGGGCATTTGGTTTTGTTCTTAAGATCACTGAAGTTTGAACATTGTGTTTTCTAAGCAGGTTACCTGGTGAAGAATGAAATTGTGGTGTCCACCTGTTAGGGTAACTGCGACCCTGCGACCCAGGAGGATAAGCAGCTTTGAGAATGCCTGTGTGTGTTTTACATAGCCATCACCATTATCCACATCTATGAAGAAATGCTGAATTTTGGAAAGAAGTTGTCACTTGCCATCACGTTAGCTGTTGTGGTGGGAATTTTAATCTGAACTTGGATGTTTCAGTTGACAAATTCTGATATAATCTGATTTGTTGCAGTTTGATGCAGAGTGACAAAGTGAGTTGTTTTGGTATTAATTGTGGATATTTGAAAATTTGACTGTCTGGTGGTTTGTTAAAATGGAAAAGATGCAAAACAATCTCCATGGCAAGTTGCCACTTGGGCAGCTTCACCTCTGGGTCAGTTTTACACTTTTGTTTGTCACACATAAGGACCTACATGATGCATATTTTTGTATGCATACTTGGTTGTGTTATTAGACAACATGAGACACTAGTAAGGCACATAGAACATAAATATATGTTGTATTTATATACAAAGATACATCTATACACAAATGCACACAAAGTACACATATTCCCAAGTAGATGTGCGGGAAAATGATATTGTATCATGACTATTCTGTGATGTATTGTGGATATTGTCCGTACTTAAAGAACACTGCATGTGTCTTTATAATGAGAGCGTAATTAGGCCTGTTTAACTGTATTTACTGCAGAACCATACGCAAAATATTGATTCAAAATCAGTGTTTATAGTTTTTGAGAGTGCTTTTAAATGGAGCACTGGTAGGGCTTTTGTCTGTACCAACTTACCAAACCTCAGAAAAACAAATTATTTTGATATTGTACTTTTCACCACAGAGCATGATATTGAAGCCATATATATATATATATATCGCTACTGTAGGTGGAAAACCTTGCATCTCCATTTTTGTCATTTTTCAGTTTTGGACATAATCTGAAAATGCCTGTTGTCCTCTACATTCTGTGTAAATTTCATGATGAATGAACCAAAAGAAAAGCTCAAAATTACTTGGGGAAAAAAATTCTGGTTCCAACGACTTCCATTAAAAGCAAAGTATGCTTTTTTTCTTCTCCTGTAAAGTTACTATTTTGGAGATACGAGGTTTTGTTCAAACAACAGCAATATATTGAATTAATGAAATGGAATTAAATAAAATCAAATTGACCTATGTTAGTTCACGTCACTGTTCATATTAAACGCAATTCATCATATCATATATGATTTAAAAGACAGAGCACCTCTTGTCCCATAATCTTATGATTTTGATTCACATTGGCTTTAAAGCTCTTCTGTGGTTTCACTCTTGGCAGAGTTCCTGCTCTTTGCCTTTGTACAGCAGTGTAGCCTTTGAGTCATCTCAGAAACTCCTTAAAGTTTAAAAGCTTTTTCATCTTTCCTTTACTTCACTTCTTTTCCCCTCACTTTTTCAACCCCAGGAGCCAACATGACCTGAACACCCAGAAAACCGTGGCAGACGCTTGCCGTGATGAACAGGCCTTCCTGCAGCGCCACTATCCGTCGCTGGCCTCACGATGCGGCTCGCGCTACCTTGCCCGCACCCTGAGCCGCCTGCTGATGCACCACATCCGCGACTGTTTGCCCGAGCTGAAGACCCGCGTGACCGTGCTGAGTGCCCAGTACCAAGCCCGTCTCAGCAGCTATGGGGAGCCTGTGGAGGACCACAGTGCCACCCTTCTGCAGATCGTCACCAAGTTTGCCACTGACTACTGCAACACCATTGAGGGCACGGCCAGGCACATCCAAACCTCTGAACTGTGAGTGCTTCTGGGTGAGGGTGGGCAATATGGCGAAAATGCATCACCACAATCCTCAAAGATGTCTTCTTGAAATATGATGCATCATTTTTAGTTTTTATTAGGTTTGCCTATAAAATGCACCTGTAGAACAGTAATGCTACATTTAAAAAGGCTATGAAGAATGAATGATTTAGGAAGGACCTGGAGGAAAAATCCACCAATTGGTAAATTAAAGAGTATTGGAACAGAAGGCTGACATCCAATCAGATACTTATTAGAGCAGTTTATGCAGTTACTATACACTGGTTGTTGTTGTCATTGTTGTTTACAGGTTCTCTATGATTGATCTAAGGCAGGGGTCGGCAACATGTGGCTCAGGAGTCGTATGCGGCTGTTTTACTGCGCTGTTGCAGCGCTACAGCAAAATCCGTTTTTAAGTTAAAATAAAATGATCCTCCTTTGCAGTGAAATAAAGCTCTGCTGATCTTTCTAACACAGTTTTAAAAATAAGTGTTCGTAAATGCTGGAGTTAATGTAGCCTATAACTGCTAATTCACTCTTTAACCCTGAAGGTTGGTGCGCTGACTGCTGGTCACAGCAATGCAGACAACAATCTTGCCTAGCTAGTAGCTAACGAAAAGGCAAAGAGAGAGATTTAAGACGAACATCGTTAATTCAGAGGCAAATGGACTTATTTGCTTTTATAATCACTCCAGCTGGTTTCCTGATACCTTTAATCTGCAATGAGAAACTGTCAAACACTAAAAAGTCACGAAGATGAAGTCAGCTTCTCATCTGAATTTTCTGTTCCACCTTAAATGCTGCAGCAGTTATGTTCTGGTGCCTCAGGCACTATTTAAAGTGGAACGGGAAAATTCGAACAAGAAGCTGGAGATTGAGAAGCGACTTCAGCCTCGTAAAAAATCAAACGTTAAGAGACATTTTACAAAAAAGTGTTTCTTGCCAGAGATCTGAGAAAAGTGGCTATAGCTGAGCTAAAGCTTAAAGCAAGGTAAGTCTGCGTTTTCGTTCATATTTTTAACCTATGCTAATACATCAGCACATACTGAGACATATTTAAAGCCAAGATGGTAAAATGGACATAAAATGTTGTGGCTCTCTAGGTGGTTGGATTTTTGTTAAAAGAACAAAGTGGCTCTTCTTAACATTTGAGTTGCCGACCCCTGAGCTTGGGTTTTTTTTTAATGATGCATGAAGTTCTTCAGTTCTAGAAGTATTAGCAATACTCACCAAATACTTGATAATGAGGGTTTTGCCTTTGAGCATGTTTGAGAATGTTTGGCCCTCCAGAAATGTACCCTGACCCCACAAAAATATGTTTATACTACAAACCCCATTTCCAGAAACAATGGGACATTTTGTAAACTGCAAATGCAAAAAACAAGAATCTGTGATTTGTTCATTCTCTTGATCCTTTATTTAACTGACAGAAGTACAAAGAAAAGATTTACAGTGTTTTCATTGACTTAATTGTATTTTGTACTCTGAGTCAGTAGTACTGTTCTGTCTGAGCAGAGCCTCCTTTAGTGCCAGCTTGTGTTGTTTGTTCGTTAGAGCGTCAGGGTACACTGGGCTCATGTGACGTGGCATCAGCTGGTGTTGGAGCGTTGGTATTAGTGCATTTTTATGAGTATGAGTAAATGAGCATGGTACCTGATATCAGTATCGGTATCGGTGCGTCCCTAATAATCACAATATGCTATTTGTCTATATTGTGTGTGACCCAAGGCTCGTTATCATTAGCTCAGCTTAATTGCACTGGATTCAGTTCGACTGTTTGAAAGCATTAGAGCATGTGGGAATTGGCACTGGACGCTGGGTGAAAGACAGCAGAAATTTCTGCAGCAGGTCAGACTAATGACAAGTCTAAAAGAGTGCAATTTTGAGATGCTACAAAACTCAAAACTAACATCTCCATCTCTTCTCTGTTTCTAAACTGTATTGTGCGTTTTTTCCCCATAACAAAACTAGAACATCTTCTTTGCCTAGGCCTTTGATAGGTATTGAACGGCACTCATTTGCTGTTTGTAGCTGAGGGAAAATGACAGGCAGGTAATTAGCTAGAGCCCCAGGCCTCTTTACTTTCCCTCAGTACACTGAGGGCTAGAATTATGTTTCCCTCTCTGACTGGTGTCACTGGCTATTGATTAGTGCCATGTATGACTGCTGTTAAGTGCTGCCTGTTGACACAATCAGGCTAAGCGGTTTGCCTGCGGAGACACTGATCATCTGGTTGTTTTTTCTCTCTGTTTGTCTTGTACAGGTGCGGTGGTGCTCGGATCTGTTACATATTCCATGAGACATTTGGGCGAACTCTACAGTCCATAGACCCGCTGGGAGGACTCACTGAGCTGGACATTCTCACGGCCATCCGAAATGCCACAGTAAGAATGTGTCTTTGTTTGGGTGTGTGTTTTGCAATTGCTTGGCCTTTTTTTGTGGTTCATGCCCTTGAGAAAAGCTGCTGAACTCTTTAAATGTATTTTATTTTCATTTGTATTGGTCAGTTTGTTTTGTTTTCCTGTAGAAGCTTTTGAGCCTTTCGTACAGAATGTTTTTCATTTCTTTGTTTCATTTCAATGTTTTTTTTTCCATGTGTTTTGAAGTGTTTTCTCACAGATTGTATTGTTTTTGCATGTTTAAATCTAAAGATATACCTTTTGAGATCATTAGCATGAAACATGGTATGTTAACCATTTGAAATACCGTAAACAGTGGCCATTTTCTCGGTTGCTGGTTAATCGTGGGTAATGTAGTTCTCGTACCGTAGGGTCCACGGCCGGCACTGTTTGTTCCAGAGGTGAGCTTTGAGCTGCTGGTGAAGAGGCAGATTAAAAGACTGGAGGAACCCAGTCTGCGCTGTGTGGAGCTCGTGCATGAGGAGCTGCAGAGGATCATCCAGCACTGCTCATCTTACAGCACGCAGGTAACACGTCATGTAGCATGTAGGAACAGGAGGGTACACGTTTCCTCATATCAGTGACCGAAACTATCATGATTTTTGATATAAAACTGCAAAAAGTTTGAAGCACCTGAAAAAAATTCATTCAGAAAGATGGTTATTTGGTCAGTAAGTGTTTATAGATTAAATAGCAGTAACATTAATACAATAAGTTAAGTAGTAGTGTGTTCATTTAACCATTTCTATACTTCTCCTCAAGGAAACCTCGTATAAAACTCTTCACAGCACTGTGTAAAAAGCCCCATTGACACATAGACACATTGAAATTATTTTACTTCAGGTACCATATGCAAATATATATATATATATATATATATATATATATATATATATATATATATATATATATATAATCTTGTATTTCTGTAGTACCAAATTAAATATGAAATTATTACTACCACTAGTATGGGTGAGAAATATGGTACAGTATTTTAGGACATTTTCATGATGCACAAGACGAGTCACTGTATTCAATTTTTGTGAAGTTTAAGTCGTTGGAACAGGCAAAAAAAGACACTGTGCCACATTTGAAAAGTATGAAAATAAATGTTGAAATAAATATACTCATTTTTATTCAGTGTTTCACACAATGTGCTATACTAATGAAACAGGGCTAATTGTGCTCTCTTTGTAATGAACTATGAAATGTTTTCATTGTTATTTAAGTACTGACAATATACATGAGATACTCAGGGAAGAATATTGTGATGTAATCTATCACGATGACTATAAATATCGTCATATTGCCCACCCCAACCCCTTCTATTCACTCTCAGAAAAAAGGTGCTAAACTGTCACTGGGGCAGTACCCCTCTTGTCACTGGGGTGGGTACCCTCAAGTGTACATCTCAGCACCTTTAGTCAGGGAACATAATTGTACCGTAATGCATTAAAATTATATTTTCTAAATTGTATTGACTCCACACACCCCGTCTCGTCTCCAGGCTTTTTATTTTATTGTTCTGCTCTAAAACATTCGGTTATGAAAAGGTACAAATATGTACTTTTCACCTGGAAAGGCTGAGTTAAGGTGCACAATTGGACCTTAAAGCCACTGTTGTACCTGTGAGGGAACATTCACATCGTTTGTACCTTGAAGAACGAAAAATGTACCAGCACAGGACCTTTATTTCTAACAGTGTTGTTTACTGTTTAGATTATAACATTGTCAACATAAAATATAGCAGTAGAACGCTGTACAAAACATATGCATCAAATTCACTTTAAAAGCAAGTTACCAAACACACAGAGTGCACATGCTTAAAAATTTAAAACTGAATAGTCTTCATTGTGCTTTCAGATTATCAGGATTCACTGTCACTTTTAGAGACTTTCTCTAACTAGTATTCATTTCAGCAGTGTAATATTGTCAAATTCTGGTATAATTTCTCTGTGAAATTGTGTGGAAGGCACATAATTGCTTGTTTGCTCTATGCACCGTAAAAGAACGCTTGACTTAAAGCAGAAAATCCCACTTCAGCATGTCTTTTTGTGCTTATTTGCTTCACCAGAAGAAAACTGTGTGTTTGAATATGCTCTCTCTCTACAAAGCGGGTGGACTGATGCCTTTTATCCAAGCAATACACGTTGCCCTGGAAATCGAGGCTGTTTCCTGAGAAACTATCAAAATAACATATAGTGGTCAGTGTGATGCAGTGTGCATGTCAAAATGTTGCATCTGGAAACCAAAGTGAAAAGCAGCATCTGATCTGTGATCACAACTATTGGAGAACATGAGCATCATTAAACAATGAGAGGATGTCCATGAATGTCAATCGGTTGAATGTATAACAGAAATGTGGGTTGAAACTGAACACTAGCGATGCAGCAATCATGAATTGTTATGGCTGGTTTTGATGTCTTTATAGCCAAATTAGCCAATGGCTGATTTTAATTACCTTTTTTTTCATCTCAATCTCACACTGTGTGGGGAACACATGAAACACACTAGATTGTTTACCGTACTTTATATTAGCCAAGCTTGCAATGTAAGCATTGTTATTTATTGGGAATTCAAATGAGTTGCCTATTTAAATAAAATGAATCAAATTAAGTGCTACATTGAAAGTAAGAGGCAGTGGGTTGTTTAGCACAATGAGTCGTGCATAATTATGCTGTAACATTTTGGTGCAGATGTAGCAGCAGCGGTCATATACAGTGCAAGTGCACTCACATTATTTACATCATACAACACGGGTCTACCAATATACAATTAATATGTTGGCTTATATGTTTATATTTTTTGAGCAAGTATTAACTGATTTCAATCTTTAAAAATGATTGTTTTCATGAATATTTAATAAATATTATGTTGTATTATCACTATTATTACTATTAGTGATGCACCAAAATTAAAATATTATTGGCTGAAACTAAAATCAAATTTCAGGACATAAAGATTTGTTTGTTTGTTTTGTTTTTTGGGTTTCTTTGCCTTGCTTTTGAATAAAATGTAAAAAAAACAACAAATTTATGAGCAGTTATTATTGATAAAATCATTCTTTTCAAAAGGACAAAAACATATAAAAAAAGAAAATAAATAAAAACATTTCATATAAAGTAAATGTTTTAAAATTATTACAATGTGGGCCTACAAAATCCAGCGCCCTCAACAAACGTAAATGGCAATAAATGACATTATAACAAACTATTTCTGGATTTCATTACCATTAAAAAGATTTGTTAAGTGTTAGACATGACACCTGTTTAGGCCTTACGTAATGGTTTTTAAGTAATTTAGTAAAAATGCTATTTTTTAGCCAAGCTTTTTGGGCCAAATTTTCTGTGTATCCTTAAAACATACGACTACTGCTACTACTACTACTACAAAATAATAATAATAATAACAATAATAATAATAATAAAAAATCATCCAATTTATGTGGCCCAGGTTCATATCCCTTGCATACATCCACAGTCACACTGTCTTGACAGGAGGTGACATTAATTAAAATTCTGCTCTTCATCACTGCCTTATCTTTCTTTTCCTCTTGCCTGCTCTGTTTACCTTCGTTACACATTATCACTCTTTTGTTCCCTGCTTTCTATTCAAACACAGTGTCAATATTTTTAGACTGAGACTGCTGTGAGTACAGGTGTGCAGATAGCTGATAAAACCTCGCTTCCATTAGTATTAATGTATTGAGGGAACGAAAGTGTAGATTCACTCACATTTTAAATAATTGCCTTATTTGTACCTAATCTGTCCTTTTGTGAATAAGCTGTGTTGACACTGTGATCTTACATACTGTGTGTGTTTTCACAGGAACTCTTGCGGTTTCCTAAATTGCATGACTCAATAGTGGAGGTGGTGACCAGCTTACTCAGAAAACGTCTTCCAATCACCAATGAAATGGTAAGAAACTGAGTTTATGTACACGGACACAAGCTGCAGTTTTGGATCAAGACACTGGTCATCTGCTCTGCAGAACTGAGTATGGATTCTTCTACAAAAGCTGGTGGCTTTGTGTGTGTGTTTCTGTCTTAGGTCCATAATCTGGTGGCGATAGAACTGGCGTACATCAACACCAAACACCCAGACTTCACAGATGCTGCGCAAGTGTCCGCTTCAGTTAACAGCCAGCAGGTATTCATGTACACACAGACACATGCACACTTACAGTGACTCCCAGAATTATTGGTACCCTTGATTAATATGAGCACAAAAGGCCATGGAAAGTTGTCTTTGTTGTTTATCTGGTCTCGGTCTTGACTTGGCCTCCACTACTATTGTAGGGCTTCAGGCTGTGACTAAAATGGCCGCAGTCACGATCACAATTATTAATTTGCGAGTGATAAAATTAATCAAGTTGCTAGTGGTGAGAGGTAGCAACTTTAGATGATGAAGATGATTATTATTATTATTATTATTATTATTATTATTATAACTGGTAACTATTTATTACTATTTCTTCTATGGCAAATGGCAAAGCGAAAAAAAAAACCCAGATTTTTTCACACAATCAATGTCTTTGTCAGACGTTAAGAGGTCATGTGCTCAACTTCTTGGCTTCATGAATTTGCGTCACTCACACATAAAGCTCATTATGTTGCAAATTCTGCTATATATCTTGTTAATGAAAAAAAAGGGACTGAGTGTGTCGAAGACGTATGATAAAATGTATGAGAAGAACCAGGTTCGGTGGAAGGCAAAGATACTTAAATCACAGAGCTGATCTGAGGTGTTAAACAGCTTTATTTTTTTGCATATTATTATTTGGCACTTAAAAAAAGCTTTTTTCTTTTAGGAGCCAGAGGCTCCTTAAGCTAATTTTTTGTCTGGAGCCCTGCTACTACAGAGCCTCGGTCTTGCCTCTGTTGGTCTATTCTTAAATAAAATAAATATTTTTTTCAAAAACTTTTTTTTTGGGTACCAAAAATTCTGGATAGCACCTGTGTATATGTACACAAATACACCCCCCCACACACACACACACTTGAATCTGTTATTTTGTTTTAAAGTATTTAACACAGTCAGTCGCTCTCACATGTATTCACTTTTTTGACTCTACCATCCATCTTCTCAGACTGAGTCGCTGGATGGAGGGAAGCGATGGAAGAATGAGAAGATGCCATCAGAGGATAAAGGCCTGGTACCAGGTTTTGGAAGCCCTGCTAAAGCAGTAAACCTGCTGGACACAGTAAGAGAGCGTCCTAAGTCCAGCTTAGAACAATCTTCAGTGTTGAGGCAGTCTGCATGAGGCTGCAAGATTCATGTTTGTGTTTTATTTCATCCCCCAGCATTACAGGGAGTTTTTAACAAAGCAGAATTTGTCAGTTAATCAGATAACTTAAGCCCAAAGTTGGGATTGTCCAATGGGAATGCCCATCGTGTCCTCTTATTGGAATGGCTTGACTTCTGGCGTAATTTTTCTGGCTAACTGAGAAATTCTTCTTTGAGAAACACGTCCCGAGCAGGCTAGTTATCTTGATTACTTTACTGACTCAGGTGTGTTGAAACCTGGCACAGAATTCAAAGGTAGAAAAACTGGAGGACCGTGAATGCTGTATTGAACCACAGTAAAAAATGCACGGATATTCTCAGCACTTACATTTACACAAGCAGATGGTGTGCGGGTGTAAAGATGCAACAGTCTGAAGGTGGTGATTCAGCTGCATCAATTTTGGAACATTGGAATTGGTTGTTATTGATCATGTTAGTATTCAATAAAGAACCTGTGAAATTGTGGACAAAATCAAATCTAAGGCTATTATTTAAAAAAATAAGAATCCACCAAGAGCTTGGGGTCTTGTTTTACGGTCTGTATTCTACTACTGAGTCTATAGTTCCTTCAGTCATATTTGTGTATTTGTCTATTCAGAGTATTTTTTAAAATGGCTGTGAATCGTATCAAAATAATAATAATGTATAATAAGACGCATTAAATCATTGCTTGAATAATTTAATCTAATCATTGTAAGATCAGAGATTTGCAACTATAATACAGTGTTGTTTCAAAAGACATCATGCATTATGAAGTCAAAAATCATTTAAGTGTTAAAGTTGTTGCTTATTGGCATGCTTTGTTTGTTTTGGGTCCACCAGGCAGTGCCGATCTCCAGAAAGCTGAGCACTCGTGAGCAGCGGGACTGCGAAGTCATCCAGCGTCTCATCAAATGCTACTTCCTCATTGTACGCAAGAACATCCAGGACAGGTTAGCAGGGTCAACGTCACATCGGCCATACACTCCTATAACTATTTGTAGTAATGAAGCGTTAGGTACAGAAGTGCCTTATAAGACTTCTGTGCCATAAAAAATGCTGACTTTTAGGTCTAAAATAGGCCAAGTCCTTTAAAAATCCTCCTTTTACAGTTTATTCACTGGCTCGTAAACTTGAATTCCATTATTTCTTGCACTTTAAATAAATGGATGCTTCATTGAACTGGGCTGCATAAGTAACTACAATGGATCCCGCCCTGTCCTACCCACCCCACCCTCCTGCCAATAAATTCTCTCTACCACTTTCTTCATCTTTACCCCATCTTTCTCCCTTCCTCTCTTTCTGTCTTCCCTCTCTCTTGCCCTGCAGCGTGCCTAAAACAGTGATGCATTTCCTGGTGAACTTTGTGAAGGAGCGGCTGCAGAGTGAGCTGGTGGGGCAGCTCTATAAGCAGCCTTTGCTGCAGGAGCTCCTTATCGAGTCTCAGGACACGGCACAGCAACGAACAGAGGTCTCCCAGATGCTGGAGGTTAGTGTGTGCACATTATATATATTTATATATATATAAAATGAAAAAATCATATAATGACTCTGTAGTCATCTTCTTTCAATTATTTTATTTATTTATTTTTTTAAGTTCAAACATTCAAATTTGTTACTGTTTTGAATGCTAAACATGCCGTTCACTTGAATTGTGAAGAGTTTTGCATTCTCCAAACGCAATACAGCAGCAGATCACAGTCACTGTTTGGCCATTTCATATAGTACTTTGATACTACGAGCCGATCAGAACCAAGATGAAAATCTGCATCATCTCAAAGAGGCAAAACTGAGGCCGGATTCATGAAAGCGTCTTAAATGTGTGTATTTTTCTTAACTTCATTCTTAAGAAAAAAGTTAAATAACTTCTAATATACTAATAAACTAAATAACTTATTTAGAATTGTATTATTTTCTTTCCTTAACTGTTTTTTAATTCTAAGAACAAATGGTATTCTTGAAAATATTATGTTCTTAAGTGTTTTCTCAATCTTACAATAGCCTCACACTCGCTTTAGGCTGTAAGAGTTGCCAGAGTAAGCATTTAAAATTATTATGGACACTGCATCTGCTACTCCAGCCCATCCTCATCTGTCATCCCACAATTATCTTATTTTCCATTGAGGAATTTTTTCCTGTTGTCTGTTTCTTCCATCATCACCTCTAGTTCTCATTTGCTAACATTTTTTAAGTGCTTGGTTTGATGTTTTTCCTCCATTTTGCTGTCCTCTGCTTGGATTAAACTAAATAACAGAGATAACAATTTAATTAAAATTCAAAATGTATCTTGTGTCGTTTATGGTACATGGTAAAAGGCATAGTAGCCTACACAAGAAAACTATGAAGATTTTCTTTAAAAAAAAATCATTAAAAAGTATTTAAGATCTTAGGAGAATATTTGAGAACTTCTTAAGTGTTTTTTTTAGAATTGCATTTAAGATTCTTATAAACTTCTTACTGTTTGTCTTAAGAACCTTCGCAAGTTTTCTCTTAAGAAAGCTTTTGTGAATCTGGCCCCAGGTTCTCATTTACCTTTGTGTTCTGTCTGATGTGACAGCATTAACCTGTTTTGAAACCAAGCTCTTATTCTCATTTATTGTATGGAATTCAACAGTTTAAATAATCTAAGTAACTTTGCTACAGTATCGTTAATTTGCTAAATCAACTTAACAGTGAAACAAGGTATCGTTAGCATTAGCCAACAGTTACTGTAGTTGTAAGTGAGCAGTAAGCTTGATTTCATATTCACCTATGTGGATTTTTCATTAATAGCTGTTGAACAAAGGTTGCAAAAAGGACAGTCGGCTACAACTTAGTTTCTGTTAGAAACTGACACGTTTTTAACAGTAAGCGTTGATTTCTATCGACTGTCATAACAACAGTGAGCTTCTAAGAGACAGCTGACAAATATAGCAACAAGCAGTGTTCAGTGGTGGCCAAGCACACAATGTGTTTCTGAACCTGTCACCTTTTCACGCCTGACATTTGCATATCTACAGGGTGTCCTGTCAAGTTCAAACCCGTAAAGTAGAACAGAACTAGCGTGTTAGAATGATTTTGCACTGAGGGGAAACAAGAAACTTTGCTTTTTGTTATTTAGTGTACTTCCAGTCCATATTTCAATGCTCTACATATTAATGCAGTATAAATAAGAATATAAATGTACATCCAAAAAGCTCCTAGTGTTGTTATAAGCGACATCACCATTTGTTTTGAGATTTTATGCAACAAGTAGCACTAATGGTGAAGTTCAACGAGCTTCCTGACGTTCTCAGGGACTGTTATTAAACAGCACTCAAATGACAACGCTACAGAACTATAGCAAAGACCTTAAACATCTCTCTCAATACAATTGTTTTGTTATGTAATCGGAAATTATATGAATGTTCATGGACAGGTGTGCCACACAAGATTTCTCTTATACTAATTATGAGAAACGTAAGAGAGAAGGCAGCAGGATGACTTGAAAGCAGCAGCAACAGTAATGCAAAAACTGCTCTGCAGTCATCTGCGTTCCTAAACCTCACACAGGCTCCTCTGCTGAAAAAAGCAGAGAGATGTGCATCTAAAATGTGCACTCAAGCATTTAGACAAATCTGAACTCTTCTTGAACTAGTACTCTGGTCAGGCAAAAGAAAAATAGAGCTCATTGACAATAATTCAGCTCCACAAAGAGGGGTTGCACGTGATCCCTAGAACACCACGCTAACAGTGAAGATTGAAGGTGGGAGCATCATTATATGGATCTGCTTCTTTGCAAACGGTACTGGGGCATTACACGTCATTGAAGGAAACAGGAATGGAGCAATGTAGCGGAAGATATTGGATGAGAAATTAATCTCATTGGCCAAGCAGCTGAATCTGGGAAGAAGATGGCCGTTTGAACAAGACAACCCCAAACATAAAGCTGAAATAACTGAAGACTGGTTTCTAACAAATGTGAAGATGCTTGCATGGCCTAGTCAATCTATTGACATGAATCTCATTGAAATTCTATGGAGGATTTTCAAATTGCGAGTACATCAGAGGGATCCTCATAACCTCCTGGTTTGCCAAGATGGAATGGCCTAACATTGAACCACTGCAAAAAATTACTTGGACATCTTTAAGCTGTATTTGCAAGCAACAGCCTTGCAGTAAAGTATTATAAATTTGTGGTTTCTGAATACTTTCTCCCTATCAGTTTCATTTTTTCAAACTTTTCATTGATTTAATGCTTATTAACACCATCCGTTCATCTTCTAAGCCCTATGTGTCAAACACAAACACAAAACAAGTCAGGCCCATGACACAGTCCTGTTCGTCCCACGAAGTGATTTTAAGTTCCTATTCCTACTAGCCCATTTCACCCTGAGATGTACTACAGTCCCCAGCATGCACTACAACATAGTGTGTGTTTTGACCCCCTCCCCAGCAACAATCTATGGGCCAGCGGTTACACAAAAAGAAGATGCCTGGTGTCTTGTTCAAGCAATTAATAAAAAAAGAAGACCTAAAACAATTTATTTTTATTTAGAATTATTTTTGAATAAGTATTCAATGCCCATTTTGCTGTTGCAATTTTGGCATATTTCAAATAAACAATGGCCTGTTCATATTATGGCAAAATGTTAAGTAAAAATGCAATAAAAACACAGCTGGACCACAGATTTTTAATATGGCCCTTCTAGTGGTTGAGTTCGACACCCCTGTTCTAAGCCATGGGTCGCATAGGGTGCTGGAGCCTATCCCAGTGCTCATCAGGCGGAAGGCAGGAAACACCCTGGACAGGTCGCTAGTCCATCACCACACAGAAAAGAACCCTGGTCACCCGGCCGGGGAATTGAACCCAGGCCCTTCTTGCTGTACAGAGCTACCCACAATAAAAGCATCTACATACTTGCGGGAAAGTTCTATATTGTGTGTGACTGTAAGACGGGCAGGAGAGCTTATACAGTTTCTGGACTTTTCTCAACAGCAGTGCACATGTGTGTAAGAGCAGGGAAGCAGAAGAGCTAATTATGTCCCTGGACTGTTCTCAACAAAAGGTCTCATAGGTGCCTTCATATCAGTGCTTGCTCGTTCGCAGGATGCAGCTTCTCTTGTTTGACTTGTTTTTATCCTTTAATACAAACTCCGTTCCTTCTTCCTTTCTCTTTTCAGGCACTGAAGAAAGCCAACAACATTATCTCAGAGATCCGAGAGACTCACCTGTGGTAGCTGAGCATCCTCAGCAGCGGCGTGTTGAGTGCATGTGTGTGTACGTGTCTGTATGTATGTACCAAACGTTTCATATCTACGTCAAATACATATTTAAAGACTTTCAGTGAGCACATGCATCAAAATATATTTATGAACACATTTGTACACAGCATTTTTCAGGTACTTGATTCTAATGTATATACACCTGTTTCTTTAAATATGTATTTGAATGTGAGTGTATGTGTGTGTGAGTGTGTGTGTGCGTGTGTGTGTGAGTGTGTGTGAGAGTGCTTATGAGGTGAGCTGGAGTGTTTGTTTACCCATACTGTCGGCCAGATGGAAATCATACCACAAGCATGTCTATTCTGTACCAAAGTCTTAGGCATGCTGTGAAAATGCACTGAGCTTTAAAGGAGTACTCTAGAATGTTTCAAGCTAGTGTCTAGTGATGCGGTCATTTGCTACATTTGATCAGTATTGGCACCGATACTGATCTCATTAAACCAACCCACTATTGGTACTGTTTCTTGGAAACAGTCGCTCTAAAATTGAAGAGCGTAATTCAGAAACGCGATACATATCAAATATTTACTGTGTTTTTATTAATAGAACTGAATGCTCTACTTACAGCTAATAATCATGAATGATCACATTACATATTAAACGGATATTGGCCAGACATGACCGATGCGCTATCGATACTGAATTTTTTCCTGGACACAAATTGACGAGCGTCATTCTATTCCACAATGCACTTTTTTATTATTGGAACTGAAAATACTGCTAATAATTATAACTGTTCACATTACAGGTAGTCTTATTTTAAGAGATGAAACAAGTGTTTCTTTTCAAAGAAGAAATGCACCATATGTATCTACAAAGCACAGCAGCATGTCAAAATAAAAGCCCTCTTAACAAGGCATGAACCTGCATGGCACAATAAAAACCCTGTGCAGGAGAGCTTTAACTATTCTGTTGTGCTACACACAGCAGTTATTAAGTAACAATTTCAGGCTTTTACATTTCTGTCAATTTAAAATGAAAATGGTCAGATTTGTGGGTGATTTTGAGATAAGAACATAAGTTGACAGTTAAGATGACTACAGTGATCAGTTAGACTAAGTAACCCTAAAAAAAATGAAGAATATGGTTAATTATGAAGTAGTTATTGACGTAATTACCAAAAATTCTTAATATACATAGGTCATGTTTTGGAATGATACTCTTCAATTGTAACAGTACCTTATATGCATCTGTATATCTGATCGGTACTCTGTGTCAGCCAATATCCTGACTCGGTCACTTAATGGAAGTCAGTTGGCAGTGCTGAAGCAGCTGTCCATAGACTTCTACTATAGGTATGTTTTTAGCCCATGGGTTTGCTGTTCTCTTTTATGTACAGAGAAACATGGAAGAATTATTGCCTGTGTAATCGCCTAGAGACTATGTTGAAACAGTACTGGAGTATTCCTTTAATTATTAGGGCTCTGCTTCTCGATAGATACTTGGAAATTCCTCAAACTCACTGTAATTTTAGGAGCTTCTTCAGTTTCTGAAATCTGCTGTGAATATTCTCTTCATTTGCAGCCTTTCACAGCTAGAACTACACATGACCTTGACTAAAAAACCTATTTATTTGATTAGTAATAATGATAAAGATGATTCATTTTGAAATAGATGCATATGTAGAAGTTTTTCAGCAGCCCTTCCTATAATGCTGAACACGGACCAATCGTAGTTTCCCTGCCATCCTTAGCTAAAACTGACCAAGTCTGTGTAATTGTCCCAAAAAGTCTGTGCCAATTCCATTCTCATATTTGGAAGTGTCCTGAATATTATTAAACCACTTCTGGTCCTTGTGTTTGATAATGGAGTCCGCGTTCAAATACAGGGGAATTATTCTTGCTGCCTGGGGGATTCTTTATGTAGACTGTCGAGAATAAAGCCCTATAAACAATAACAAATCATGCAGAGCATTGATATTTGTAAAATGTCAGTAAATTAAGGCTGTAAATATGAATACAGAAGTGCGTGGTGTAAAGTTACTGGTGAATATTAATATGAAGCTTGGTTGTTAGAGCACCTTTGTCGTTGTTTGCAGTTTGCAGTTGTTTTTGTGTCTACGGGTTACTTGTTTATTTATGGAAAACGGGTTATAATCATGGTTCTGACACAGCTCTACTGGGCTGTGTGGTTCAGTCTGTGAAGAAAACAACTGGTGCTGGAAATTGTGAAGGGGAACACAGACCACTCTTATTCTTAAAGGAACACTCCAGTGTTGTTTTTTTTACAAACTCATTTTCACAGCTGTATTACACAGTACAGACAATGATTTCAACACATTTCCCTCTAATTAGTAATAATTGAAAACGCTCTCCCAAAATAGACGCCATTGAGCAGTTGCTGCATTCTCTGAATAAACGCTTGAAATGCATCACTATATAACACAAATTACAAACTGCAGTACTTACAACTTTAGTAGAACAGCACAGTGGAAAAGAAGTTTAATTTTACACTCTATTAGTTGTCCTCAGTTAGCATGCTTCTTAAACTCAACAACAGAATCCCAATCTTAAATCATTTAAATATCGTAGCACTGTCTTTTCTGTTTACCTCTTATTTTTCTCTTTTCTTCACATGCATCAAAAAATTCTGAACTCATAATTTTTGAGGTACTTGATTCTAATAAGTATGAGAATAACATTATTCCCCAGTGCTCAATGGTTAAGTTTGGATATATTTTATATGTCTTGTAATAATATGTTACTCTCGTGCTGAAGGTCATTAATATTGACTAACCGATATATTGGTCAGGCCCTAACCACTGCACTGGTAATGATTTACCATAGTCTTTCCTCTGGAAAACTAGTCCCATCACTGGAAAACTTTATTTACAAATATCTCTGACAGGAAAATCCATAAGTGATCTATAAAGTATTTCATATGAACGTTAACTGACAGAATTCCACAACTGCCTATTAGCTTCTGTTATTCGGCTAAAAAACACTGGGGTATTCCTTTAATGACGAGATGATCAAGAGGCAAAAAGTAAAGGGTACAACTAATGGTGTAACGTTCCTCCATTATGTTTCACTTTGTCTCACTCGAATCAATTCAGATCAAATTGTCTGTGCCCTAAATTGTTAGCGCATTAGCATGTGATAAATTAGCCGATATGTGCTAAAAATAACGAATGAAAGAAAATGTGATTACCGCTGTAGACTGCCATGGTCAAAGGTTTAGAGTAGAACACAGCCTCAGAACAAAAAGGCCTTTCATTAGCATCTCTGCTATGATAGAGAGGAAATCATAGCGCTTGTTGTCAGGGGCTTGACTGTTGTGTAATATTTATGTGCGTCTGAGTATTTATAGTAAGAGTGCGAGTGTGTGCGCTAGAGGTTAAACGTTTGAAGTGAAGCTGTTCTGTCTGAGAGCTCTGTAGTTCAGTGTGTTCTAAAGCAGGTGTCGGCCGCTGAGGAGAAATGCCTTTGTCTTTGCTGTTTAGTCTCAAACATGAAGAAGATCTTCTTAAGTAATGACAGAGATGAAGCTGACGCATACACTGCCCATCAGAAATTTGGGGACACCTAGCTTTTCAACATGTTTAATACAAATGAGCATATTACTGACGATATTTCACAGTGCTTCCTTCGGAATAATGACACACCCCACTAGACTACAGGTATTGGTATCGGCCCATTTTAGGAGTAAATAATCCAGTCCTGCATCAACTCCAACCTGAAACAGCACTCAGTCACTCTGTGTGACATGATTGATGTTGGGTTTGTATTTCTTGCTGTGGGGTTGTAGTGATTGAGTAGTTCAAGCCTTATATCTTACAGGAAGTGCTTCAAGTAAAAGTAGCTCATTTTCAAGCTCAGTAGTTTTTAAAGAAGAAATATCAGATCAGTTTTGGCCAGTTCTCAAGGTTTTAGTATCTGTATCGGAAAAGAAAAATCTCTGTACCCTACATGCTCTTGTTTATGTCAGCACTCAGACCCTTCTTTCACATATTTAACCCATGTTTGGGCCTAAAAGTGGTTTCAATCTGCTGTTAGCCATCTGTGCTTTTAACAGTAGTAGCAACTATTAGACAAAACATGCTCTTCATAACAAGCAAGGCACTTGAAACTGAGTGGTGCAAAATAAATCCAAGTGCATATGTAGGTGTATTTTCTTAACGAGAAAATTAAAAATTTAAAAAGGGATCTACGATATGCACAAAATACTAGAGCTGGCCTGAATAATTAGAATACTTGAGTATTTGGTTTATTTCAGCTTCTAAGTTAATATTGGAAATCCGCAGGAATTGTAGTCTAAACTACAAAAGATTTTATCATCAGAGGCCTTAACAGTCATTGTTAATATGTGGAAAAAAAGATCAATAATAGCTGGTTTTAGTTCAATACATCATAAATTCATGCTGGCATATGCATCACCTCCCCTCAGAGCGCAAGAGACTGCCAGCTCTCCGAATACCTGTGATCTGTGGTGAGGGTGATGCTAAAACCCGGGAGCGCAGAGCCTCATATCATTCACTTCACTCTTAGTAACGTGACTGAGTCTCGGGTGAACTCAACCTGTGTGTCGCCCTCACTGCTGAGGCAACTAACCAAATAAAGTTGATAAAGTAAATGAGAGCAACTACAATGAGCTGAACTAAAACCGTGATGTTGGTAATAAAATGATAATTGTGAGCATCCACATAATTCATAACAGTTGTATTTGAATGAGAGGGCTATATCTCGACTTCTATAGCAACAATATGAGTATTAATACATTATTGCTGCCTACTGGACTGCAGTAACAAACATACTTAAAATTATGTTTAATTATCAAATATAGAAATGTTTTTAAGGGTGATTTTGAGAGTGAGTATTTAAGTATTTGTTCAGGAATACCAAGTAATCGAAGCCTGTAAAACCCCATTCAGGCCAGCCCTACAAAATACAAAAAGATGTGTTGCAGTTATATTACACAACATAATGCGATTGCAGTGTGCATTGCAACATTAAAACCCATCGGTGAACCAATTATTCTTTTAATTATAAGCATAAATAATTATCTATTGGATTACATTTTGATTCATCTGTGACTGGTGAAGCCTTCCGCCCAATGACCGATGGGATAGGCTCCAGCAGCCCCCCGCAAACCAGAAGGCTAAGCAGTTTAGAAAATGTATGTCTGTATAATTAGTGAAGATGCTTAAACATATTTGCTCATTATGCTCTGTAAAGCTTTCTGCAGTAATGATATTGCAAAGACTGATATTGTGATGATAATTAACAAACAATATATTGTGCAAGCCTTAATTTCAAAAGAAGGTATTGTGTCCCAGACTTTTTGAGGGGCTGTGTATGTGAGATCAGCAGAATATCTGTGTTGTCTGAAGAGGTGTGGATGTCCATACTGGCGCATGTTGCTGATTTGAGCTTAACTTTGCTATTGTGGTGGAGTCGGCAGCCAGAAAGAAGGCAAAGTTGTGGCCCGCGCTGCATTCGGGAGCTCTGATGTCCTGATCAGAAGGCAGGGTGAGGGATCTAGGGGTGTATTTTTATTCATAAGGTCGGGTGTCTGCTCTCCCAAAACCTACACAGCGGCTCCATATTGAAGAGAAAGAGAGAGGGAGAGAGAGAGAGAGACTAGTACTGTGAAGGTCAGCATACAATGAGCTACTGATCTGTCAAAGCCCTTAGAAATGAACAGATAAGAGAGGGAGAGGGGGAGACGGCGTGTGAGAGAGCAAGCTGTGCGTGTAAGCATGGTCAGTCAGATTCCTTTGTGAATTGAATAAACTGTTTATCCCCACAGAGTATTTAATTACTGGGTATGCTAACAATCAAAAGAGCAATGATAGACAAACATAAATGCCACAGAACGTAAATAAAAACGAGAACAAATAAAGTAAATGTGTTTTTGCACCCATTAACAATACATGCGGTTCACTGAGTGTGAACTGCAGCATGCCCACTTCTTTTTTTTTTGTCCATCTCTCATCTTTTGAGTGTCTCTGTGGGTTCTCTCCTGTCCTTTGATTTGACCATACTTCCCTGCAAATTGGATAGCTTCTGTATTCTGTGGATGCATGAGAGTCTGACTACTTTTTTCCAGACTTTGCTCTCCTATGAGTCTCTGCATGTTAACTACAGCTGGTGCTGAAGTTTAAAGGAATATGCCAACATTTTTCAGGCAGTTACCATGCATAATAACTACGTGGAAAAAAAAACAAAAAACAAAAACAGTTGATACAAAACTTGCTTATAATAGACGCCAGTGGGCAGTTGCTTCAGCACCTACCCATAGACTTCTATTATAAGTGTTTGTATTGGACTTTTTCTACATACAGGGAAATTGTAGTGTGGTAATCGACCATATGCCACAGTTGCGGCAGATCGAGATTAAGTTGCTGGAGTATTCCTTTAATAGAAACGTGTAAAGGAGACAGGTGGAAAGCTGGTGAATGTTAATCACTACTTTTGCAGTCTCGCTGCTAATTAGATGATGAAGTGTAGAAACACTGCCACTTGCCATGTTTTCACTGGATCTTCAGCGCTAAAATGACTCTTTTACCTGCTCTCAAGCCAAAAGTACTGAAATGTTGTCCTTGTGTCTTTGTGCTCCATGTTTGATCCTGGTGGGAAAATGTAATGACAAAGAAATGTAACTCTTGTAGAGAGTTAAAGAGGTAGTTCAGCAAAAAAATCAGTTTGCACAATTTTCTTCTTACCCTCATTGAACAAAACTGCTGCTACTGTTTTTAGCTAGTTAAGAGTATGTTTGCCCATTTTTATAGATAACAGTGTATCAGAATACAGTAGGGCTGCAAATTATGGATGTAAAATGCGATGTTCTATAAAGCTGTTAGATATCATGATGATGGTATGAGAAGCATAAACAAATAGCAAAATAGCATTCAGTATTGAGCAACATAAAAATAATGAAAAATTAATAGCTACTTATATCAGAACTACATATTTTTGTTCTCTGTAAAGCTGAAAAACAGTCAGCATTGCCTGAACAGCTTTTTCAATAAAGGCTACAAAAGGAATTAAACATATACCTTTATTTATTTTTCTACAGGC